CTTATTCACTACAAAAATATAGGTATTTAGCGTCGGTTTTTATGTCACTTAACAACGGTTATAACCGTCGTTGATTGACACGACGACGGTCTTCACAACCCTCGGTAACACCTCAGTAGGGAAGACTTTTGTGTCGGTTTTACTAACCGTCGGAACAAATAACACTAGTAACTAATGGTATTTACCCACGGTTCTTAATGACATTAAAGCTCAAACTAAATTTATATTTCGGTTCTGCCATTGGTAATATAGCAAGAGTTAGTGTCACTTATAACCAACGCTAGAGGACAACTTAATTCAAAGGCAAAAGGTGCAAATAGGCCCATGTACTAATCAAAAAGGTCAAATAAGCCCTTATTTAGGAGGTTCTGTCCGGACGTCGTCATTTGGGGTGGTTCCCGGTGTAATTTTTTGATGATTTTTTTGAGCATCTTATTCATCAAGTCCAGTTTACTCATATCACGTTTCAACTAAAACTTCAATCGGGAAGACATTCAAATGAATTCTTGAAGATAACTGCGCTTCTAAGTGTGCAATTATTTTCAAGAATTCATTTGAATGTCTTCCCGATTGAAGTTTTAGCTGAAAGTTTTAATGAGTAAACTAGACTTAATTAATAAGATGCTCAACAATTTCATAAAAAAATTCCACCGGGAACCAACCCAAATGGCGACGGCCGGACAGAGCCTCCTAAATAAGGGCTTATTTGACCTTTTTTTGTTAGTACATGGGCTTATTTGCACATTTTCCCTAATTCAAACCAATTGGTGTCACTTATAACCGACACTATATCACAACATAAACCAACATAAAATGCGAACAAAAAATGGTCCATATATTAGGACTATTCTTGAATCTAGAAAAAGAGAAATGACACCTCATCACCAAGCTAATACGAAGTATCATTTACAAAAGGGATAAGGGTCAGATAGGGCCTCGAACTCGAAAAAAAATGTCAAATAAGGTCATATTTCGGATGCTCTGTCTGGCCGACGCCATTTGGGGCGGTTCCCGATGGAATTTTTTGATGAAATTTTTTGAGCATCTTTCTCATCAAGTCTAGTTTACCCATACCAAATTTCAGCTAAAAACTCAACCGGGAAGGTAGTCAAATGAATTTTTGAAGATAACTGTGAAGTTAAACAACGCCGTACATTTCGGAAAATTATTTGACTACCTTCCCGGTTGAATTTTTAGCTGAAATTTGGTATGGGTAAACTAGACTTAATGAGGAAGATGCTCAAAAAATTTCATCAAAAAATTCCATCGGGAACCGCCCCAAATGGCGTCGGCCAGACAGAGCATCCGAAATATGACCTTATTTGACATTTTTTTTCGAGTTCGAGGCCCTATCTGACCCTTATCCCTTTACAAAAGTATATCATCTAAGCATAAATCTCATCAAACAAACATTAATTTTTTACCAAGAATTCTTCATAGATCTTGATAAGTGTAATGCAAAAAAACATACTTTTGAGTATTCTCCAATACCGCAAAATAGCCATACAACATGACTACACCCCATAGTTTCTCCAACAACACTCATTAAGACAACAAAAACCAATGATCTAGAGTTCACCATTCATCCATATAGACTACTACGAAATACAATTGATGAGACTAATTAACAAAAATGTGGATCATGACATGCTCTTGACGATCATATGCTGCTTGAGATCATACTCACTATGAAATCAATCATCATGTGTTGCTTGAGATGTTTCGGGACTCAATGAACCTGCCTCCTGAAAATAAAGAATTGCAAGCTTAAGTAATATTTCTAGTGTACAAGGTTTTAAAAAGTATAAGCTATATGGACTTTATTAAGACATAATATGGCAGTTAGCATGTAATCCAAGTATGTTAATGTCTTTTGAAAAGTATGTTGAATGCATAATGAATGAATGCGTAATCCAAGTATGTTGATGTCTTTTGACAATATGCATTGCTCAACAATTTATAGTATACTCCTCGGCTATGTTTTCCATTTAGAAGACAACCAAGGCATACAACACACAATAGACTACACAAACGATGAAGCTCTTCGCAAGGATGTTTACAAATGAAATGCGACAAACCCCACAACCAGAGGCGAAGCTCAGCCAAAAACAAATCAAACGGAAAACTAAACGGAAACAAAGCTACCAAATCAAACTGTACCTAAACTTCCTGCCCTTCTTCGAAGCATCCCCCGGACAAACTTTAGTATTGTACGACACTAGATCATAACAAATCAAACCAAACTTAAATAAATCAGAACAGACTAAACAAATTAGACCAAATTTAAACTAGTCATACCAATATTCGAAAATTGTAAAAAACACACAAACTTGACTTCCATGAGTGCCAGACCATACCAATTCAACTGGACAAGGCTAGATCACACTTGACCAGACTACAAAATTTAAGAAATCATAATACTTCCAACCTTCGGAACTTAAGTCCAATGTTTATTTATAGAAATGTTCACACCACATTTTATTTCATCACTCTCACACGATTTTACTTTTTTTTTAATCATAAACGAGCGGCTTTATATTAAAAAATAAAAACGATAACGCAAACAAGACAACCTTCATACAGATTTTACAGATCCAATCGTGAACCCTAGGAGTAGATATAGAGTCAGGCACCTCATACAGAACAACCTGACTCGCTAAACTTGAAACGGGCAAATTTAAGCCTAAAACGAACAGATTTCAAACCCTGCCTATCAAAGGAACTCAAAAAATCCAAACATTTAAATCAAATCTACTCGGGCTAAAACAGAAACAAGTGCCATTAAAGAGAAAATATTATTGAAATAAAATCTTTTCACAAAACTCTTCCTGGTATGGAGGAGGAACCAGAGGAGACCGAGCTATGGATGAATACCAACTCCACCACCGTCGGAGCGTCCGACCAAGGCTTCATGATCCAGCACCGATACTAACTCCCATCCGCAACTTGTTCATCCGCCAACGCTGTCTCCTCTGTCGTAACTGCAACCCCAAGCGTTTGAACACTTAAAATCAGTATAATCTGTCGCTCCAATATAAAGAGGAGAGCCGACCACTAGGGTCAGAGAGAGACGCTCGTTTATTTAAAAAGTTTCACGCAATTTTACTTTTAAAATGAGTTTCCAATTTTTAACTGCCCCGACTTTTAGGAACATACTCATGAAAAATCATTTATTTTTTAATTGCCCCAACTTTTAAAAACATATTCCATTTAGAATTGAAAGTTATTAATACAATTTAATTAAATACCTCATTTAGCATTAAAACAAAACTCTATCATTCTAAATTATCTTTTCATGTTAGTTATTGAAAACTGAGAATATCATTCTATAGTTATATTTTTCATTTGGGGTGCGTAGTATATAGTAACACATGGCTGCATTTGTACTTTTTATATAACCATTTGGCATTTTTGTTTGAAAAAGTTTAAATTTGGAAGTTGGAATATCTTTTGGGCTTTTACCTTCGGAAGGTGTATTACAGAATGAATAGTTCTTAGTGTACACCCTGGGTTACATCCTGGGGTACACCCATTTATTTGCCCTTCTCACAGACAAATTAAAACACACACAAATACAGACACTTTCATTGATTAGTTTCTAGATCTGTCAGGCTGGTTGCACGAAACCCAATGTCGGTGTACACAGACATTAGTTGTCTGTGTAAACAAAAAAGTGTCGGTGTGAAAAGTTAATTGGAAAATAAGTGTCGGTGTACACAGACGTTAGTTGTCTGTGTAGACAAAAAAGTGTCGGTGTAAAAACAATTAGTTGGAAAACAAGTGTCGGTGTACACAGACGTTAGTTGTCTGTGTAGACAAAAAAGTGTCGGTGTGAAAGAATTAGTTGGAAAACAAGTGTCGGTGTACACAAACGTTAGTTGTCCGTGCAGACAAAAAAGTGTCGGTGTGAAAAAATTAGTTGGAAAACAAGGGTCGGTGTACACGGACGTTAGTTGTCTTGTATAAAAAAGTGTCTGTATATATACAATTTTCGTCTGTGTACACAGACACTATAACAAACCAGTGTCGGTGTGGATAAAACGTAAAAAGTGATAAGGAAAGAAAAAGAAGAAGATGGTGATGAAGATAATGAAGGTGATTAGGGTGAATCAAACCTATAAAAGAGAAGGAATGAAGAAGAAGAATAAGAAGAAGATGAAGAAGAAAGGAAGAAAGAAAGAAGAAAGAACAAGATGTTGAAGAAGAAGAAAAGGAAAGAAGAAAGAGAGGAGGGAGGGGGATCCGTATGATTCAAATGGGAGAGGAGTGGAGAGAAGAGAGTGGGGAGAAAAAAGTTGGGAGGGGAGAAATAAGAAATGGGGGGGGGGGGGGGGGGGGGTATAGGGTGTACACCAAGGTGTAACCCAAGGTGTACCAAAAGAATTTTTCTTACACAATTAACCCGACCGTGTTAGATGCATCAAGTGGGAATGTAACTTTTAACGAGTGATAAATGAATGCATATAATATAGAAAATTGACGAATAGTAGGTGAACCTTCATCTGATAAAAAATTTCCAATTACAAATTTTAGTTTTGGATTCTATGCTTTGGCAAGTTTATGAGATCTATTTAGCGGGAATGCTATCAGTATTTTTGGGCGGGAATCACACACAAAATCTCCTTTTGGATATAAGTAGGACTAGGAGTGGACAAAAATATCGGAAAATCAGTATACCGCACTTACGTACCGGGAAATATCAGAAAATACCGGAATATTGGTATACCGTAATTTTCGGCACGGTGTCATACCGTACCGATTTATGTTGGTACAATAACGGTAAATGTTTCCAAATATCGTTATAATAATGTACTGACTCCCTACCTAACAATTACTTTTAATTCTAAAATATTGTAAAAGACCATTACAATTTTGAAGCCTAAATTTAATACTTAGATTGGTAACAAATACCAAAATACAAAAATAAATACCAATTTCCCAAACCCACTCTAACCCTCTAAAATGTTCAGCTAATAACTTATTTGAGGCCCAATTAAACACGGGCCTATACTTTAAAGACCAAAAATGTCCATTACAAATGAAATAACCTCCCGCTCTTTTCAGTTTTCACTGTCCTCTACCTCTCTTCAGCGCTTCTCTTCCCAGTTCCCACTCTGAACCCCCAGCTATACTTGCAGGCGAACAAATAGCGAGTAGAAGATTAGCCATTGAGTGGAAACAGCTAAGAAAATGAGGGAAGTAGAAATCGACAGGCTAAGAGGGGTTGTGAGGGACTGCGTTAGCAAGCACTTGTACTCGTCGGCGATCTTCTTCGCCGATAAAGTGGCAGCTATGACGTCGGACCCCGCCGATATCTATATGCAGGCGCAAGCACTGTACATCGGCGGCCACTATCGCCGTGCTTTCCACCTCCTCAACGCGTCCCAAATTGTCCCCCGCGACCTGCGCTTCCGTTATCTGGCTGCCAAGTGCCTGGTACCCTCATTCAGTTTTTATGGAATTCTCACTTTATTACCATTATTACTATTATTTCATTTCATCAGCCTGGAAGTGAACTGTATAGGCTTGCCTCTCAATGCAGGAAACATGAGTAAACTTGTTCAATTTTACTCATCTGTTAGGGTTACAAGATTAATAAAAGGATAGGTATTTTTGACTCAGTTTGGCAAGAACACTTAATTTAATATCAAAGCCGTTTCTTTTTAAACCAACCTTTTGACTTGGTAGCATTTCAGGTCGACACCCTCTATGTTCTGTTTAAGGACTGGGCTAGTTGCTACATTTTGTGAAGATATTATTATTGTTTTTCTCTTATTAGGATCAGGCTAAATGATCTAAATTTAAAAGCTTTCTGTGTAGTTTTTTTTTTCCTGAAGAAAACCACGACTTGGCAGTGCCTTCCTGAACTGTGAAGCTATTTTAGGTCAATTAATTGTTAAAACAATACAATCTTGTGTATCTATTAGTGTCGTATTGTTGTTAAATGGAGACCACGGTGGAATGTAGTGGTGGAATGTCTTTTCATGGTGGATTTTATCCATCAGCAGTTCACCACTAATCAAATTGGTATACACACAAAAAACAATTGCTTAAGTTTCATGCATTTATCTCAACTCTAAATGTTATAAGTTTTAGAATAATGCGCTCAACATAAAACATAAGATGGTATAAACAAGATCATATTCGAGCTTAAGATAGAAAATGTTCGCCGCAACATAAATCAGTGCTAAATAAGAAATCTTAGGCCTTGGAACTTGGATTGGTCCACCTGGTTTAGTTTTATAGCACATACTGGTCTTGAACTGGCACAATGGTTCAGCACCAAATAGTTTCTTTGAAGCTAGCTTAGTACATGAAATAAGCACCTGTTCAGGACTGGATAACTGGATAAGGTTTTTTTGCTACCGCAAAACTGACGAACAGCCATGTTTTGCATAGAACAACACAGGGTCATTAAACAAGTTTCGTTCCGGTCTAGATTGGTTTTGAATTGTATATTTGGATTTCTAATCAAAGTTTCATCTTGCAGAGCATAGACTATCCAATCATTGAACTAGAGCTCAAATTAGCAATTCACTTATGTTATATCTTATAGGTTATTCGTAGCTATTTTAATTAATAATAAATTGAATTCATGATTACAATGCAAGTTACAACTCTTCTTATCTTGCTTGATTGATTCATATACAAGGAAGAAGGAAAATGTATGAGCTGGTTCATGTATTTTTATCTTAAAGCCTATCCTGGCTCCTAACTTCCTATCAAATATTTGGAGTCAAGCCATCCCAGCCAAAATATCCTTCCTAGAGTAGTTCATAATTGAATCCCTAATGTGGCAGTATTGCTATTTCTGCAACCTCAGTGATCATGTTTGAACGCTCTACCCTTAGACAAATGTTGTTGTTCTGGACTCTTAAAGGAATGGGTCCAAAAATGGAAAGATCCATCCACCCACCCACTTCTGGTGATCTGGTATCTGTGGAAATTGGAATGGCAGAAACAAATGTAAGCATCAAAACACCGATATTTGTGTGAAAACCATAGTCTGACAGATAGCAGACCTGTGAAAAAAATTCTTTTCTTGCTTTCAAGATTCCTCCTTGGATAAAGTTTAACACTTATAGAGCTTGTGATACTAATGGGTTAGCAGCTGGAGGGGGGGGGGGGTTCTAAGAGGTATTATTGCCTTATTGGGGAGTTCTCGGAAGGCTTCTATTTTTTTTTTATGGTGCTGGAGTGAGATGACTGCTGAAATCAAATCCATCATTAATGGTCTGAACTGCCCTTGGAATACTTTGAATGACGTGATCAGAATCAGGATACTGAGCAAACAATGAAACTCAGTTAAGAAATGTTCTTGGGGGAGGAATTCAATTTCCCAGCTGATTACTAAGCCAAACTTGGTCTGACACTCTGACCCATAACTCATCGAGTTATAAACTTTGGATAATATTGGCCTTCCCGGCCTGAGAGTAATATAATAAGCCGGTTGGTGTTCAAAGAATAAAGCTCTGTTTTTGTTATAGAAAATATTATTTATTTTTACATGCATGGAAAATATCATGAGATGTCGATGAGTTGAGGTACTTGCTATTTTATGTCCATGACATGATTGAGTGATTGACATTGCAAGATCAACTTGCAAAATTGTAAATCAATGAAAGTTCAATAAGGAATTCTTTTCCATTTATCCTGTTGCTTGGTAAAAGCTTAATAAGAACCTTGTAGGAAACAAAATTCAATTCTCTCTTAGAAGTCATGAAAGTTCAATCCTCTCTTAGCAGTCATGAAAACTCAATTCTCTCTTAGAAGTCATATCTCCAACTTGTTGTACTTTCCTCCTAATCCTTGTTCTACTCTTCGAGCTTCACCAATATTTTATGAGAGACTTGATGAAGATTACAATTCACGAAGATGTGCCATACAACATGGCCAGCTTCTAGGTTTAAAGTTCTATGAACTTGATTTGGCTTTGTAGTCTGTACCTTCTTATTTTATTTTGTTTTATTTTATATTGTTAAAGAGCATGCATGAATGTGCAACTTAACTAATATTTGTGTGATTCTTCATGATTCTAGATTTCAGAATCTTATGAATTTAGTTATGTCTTCTCATTCACATTATAAATATATCTTCTTACTTTAATAGGGGGAACTGAAAGAGTGGGATCAATGCCAACAAATTCTTGGTAATGCAAATGTGGATGAAGATGGAAATGTTACAGAACTTGGTGATTGTAGTAGCATGTACCTGGACAAAGATGGTGAAGATCGTGAAATCAATGTAAGTTTTATTCCTGACAGGGGGAGGGTGTTCATCACTATTTTGTTTTAAAAGCAACTTCGTTTCATAATGGTAATCTGCTATCAGATACGCTCTTGGTTAATGGTTTATGTTGTGGCAGATTTTGTCTGCAATATGCTTCTTGAGGGGAAAGGCATCTGAAGCATTGGAGAACCGTGCACAAGCTCGGCTATGGTAAGCTTTTTTTTCGTAAAACTATCTTATTCGATGTATGTTTTTGGCAATTTCTCTATTTCCGTCTCACATATTATTATCAAAATCATTTCTTGATGTACAACATATATTTACTTACTATCAAGATGAATTAATTTTGTTTAAGTATTTCTATTATTTATGCAGGTATAAAGCTGCCATCAAAGCTGATCCTCTGTGTTATGAGGTGTGAGGCCTTGTTTATTGCAGAATATGTGATTATTGTTTTTTTCTAAATTTACATTGGTCTCTTTTTTCTGACTAATTGGAATATCACTGGACCTATTTTCTCTACATCAGACAACAAATATAAAAAACATTTAAAATCTATCTTGTTTTGTTTTTTGCCTTTTTACAGGCATTGGCATGTCTTGTAGAGAATCATATGTTGACTTATGATGAAGGTGAAGATCTGTTAAAATGCATCATCTTCTAATTTTGTACAGGCCTCAGGTGGTGAAAGTGTAAAAGTATTTTTCCAAAGAAGCTATGTTATTTAATCAGAAACTACTCACCTAGTGCCTGGTACTTGGCCATAGCCTTACCAAGCGCCTACCTACTCTGGTTAAAAAGACGAGTTACTTGGTGGTGCGTAATTGATGATTTATGAGTCCGATTTCTCGGCTAGTAACTTGGTCGTAGTTAAGTGTTAAAGATTTAGAATTATAAATTTGGTCATTATGAATTTAAAAAGAACTTAGGTAGTTCAATTTAATAACATTTTTTCAAAATTTTAATAGTTCTCAAATTACAAACTATCACCCAAGATTTGTTTGTGGATATGATTGCCGATCTTGAACTAAATGATGACTAATTTTAGATACAATCGTATTTTGAGAATTTGAGTTATTTGTTATATATAACAAGACTTATAAGATTAATACTCCCTTTATTGACCCAGTTTACTGTTATGAAAGTTTATCTTACTTGCACCACTCATTTTTTTTTGCAATTATAATTGAAGGGGGAGGGAGCCTTGGTGCACCAGGTAAGGTATTGCTGTGTGACAAGGTCACAAATTCAAGTCTTGGGAGCGGTCTCTTGTCAAAAATAGGACAGGGAAAGGCTTGCCCCTTATAGACCCTTGTGGTGAGACCCTTCCCGGGACCCACGCCTTGTTGGGATGTCTTCGTGCACCGGGCTGCCCTTTATAAATGTGTTTAAAGACATTATACCACTACTTTTTCATCTTGTCCTTCCAACCTTTTCTACCTTTTCTACTTTTTATCTTTGCTCATGGTTTTTACTTTTTCTAGGTTATTCTCTACTGCTGCAACTTTACTAGCAGTTCTGTGAAAACCTATTGGAGTGGCTAAACATGAACGTAGAAGAGAACTGTAACATTTTTTAAATATTACTAATATAGGGCCAAGTAATTTAATATTATTTCCAAGTAATTGATCCTAATCACTACTTGGCCTTTGACTGAGTAACTGTTAAACTACTTAGGATAAGAGTTTTACCTGCAGACATATCTGACTAAAATTGGAATTCACTTAGAGACTCCATTACACTTGGAATATCCAAACCATACCAGTAATGCAGTATCTCCCACTCAGAAGTAGGGTCTGGGGAAGCTAAGATGTGTATAGACATTACCTCTGAAGCTCTACCCCTAGGAGTAGACAGGTTGTTACATTGAAGTCTCTTGGCTAAGTAAACAATGGGAAGCTTTAGAACAGTGCCACTGAAAAGTTATAAGGAGGTTGTAGTTAAAAATCTGAAGTTGAAAAAAACATCCACAATTAAAAGATAGTGTCATCAGTGGCTACCACTCAGAACTAGGGTAGTAGGGTCTGGGGAGGCTGAATGGACACGGAAATTACATGAGCTACACCTATGCCTTTACCCCTTGGAGTAGAGAGGCTGTTTCAGTGAAGTCACCCAGCTAAGGAAATGATGATATGATTTGGAAAAAATGGCTTTTAAATTTTTCGAAGGTTCTGATAAAAATTACTACTAGTATGGAACGAAAGTGTTCAGGGAAAAAGACAAGAAAAAAAGAGGCATAATTAAAAGCATAATGTATGAAAGCACCGCAGCCCGCAGGGACAAAACAAAGTAGGTTAGAACTGAAATAAGTGTAATGTATCTTGATACTTGAATAATAATTATAAAATATGTTATTTTTGGTCTTGATTCATGAACAAGTCTATTCACTAATCACTTATGTTAATTGCTGCTCTCTTTCAGAGGCTAGCCTACTTTTGTCGTTGCAGTTTGGTGCTGAAGATGGTTGGCTTTCTTCATTTTACTCTTGCATGGTAAAGAAGGTAATTCAGATTAGTGATCACTTGTGCGATCCCGTTATTTGTCTATTTGAGCTCTGCTGGTCCATTAATTTCTTCTTCGTTCGATCTACATTTTATATACGTAGTATTATTTTGCTCAGTGTGAACATACTGTTATTACTACCATTATGTTTTGCAGTATGATAACGAAAACATGGTGGAAGCCAAATTTAGGGAACTAGAACAGGATGGTCCTGGTACGAAAGCTTCAGACAAATCCTTATCGTGCACCTTCAAGACAAATACTGATCTTTTGTCCTGCAAAGCTGAGTACTATCATCAATGCGGTGAATACCAGAAATGTTTTGAACTAACATCCACGTAAGTTTGAGCCTGGTCTAGAGGAAAATACTATGATCATTTTGCTTGGTTATCTCTAGTGTTGCCTAGATGACCACTTGTCCCATGCCCCCATTATCACAACTAGTCAATCCACCCGTGCGTTGCACGGATAAAAGATGAAATAATTTATTTTAAAATAATTCATGAGAAATGTGTATATACATAGTTATTGTATAAAAATATGATATAAAAATAAATTAGAGTCCATGTATGATACTACTTCATCCGTCCCACTAAAATTGTCTCATTTTTCCTTTTTAGTTTGTCTCATTAAGATTGTTTTATACCAAATTTGGTAACATTGGTATGATTCTAAATCATTCCTACTTTAATCTCATTTTATCAATTCAATATCAGTCACATAAATTATTAGTGGGTATCATAGTATAGAAATTTTTATAACGATATAGACCAATCATATGAATTGTAGATCGACATGCTATGTTTACTTATTAGTGAGTTATCAATGTATTGACCCTTTTATGTTTTTTCAATGTATTGTTGTGAAAGTGGCTATTTATTTCCTTATAATTAATTTCTAGTTCAGTTAAGTTCAAATTCGTGTTAAATTTGATAAAGTACAATCATATTCTCCTTATTCAATTGTCTGCATCTAGCTAGTAAGGATTGAATTCTTTTTAATATAGTTACTTATTTACAAATGGATAAATTTATTTAAATCGTCTTTTTTATGGATAGATGTAATAGAATTAAATGAATGCATTTTTATTTTATTTTGCAACTGATTACCAATAACAATTCCTCTCTCGTCTCGTTAAACTTTGATAACTTTATTTATGCAACTTTGGTGATTTCTATTTAAAGTATTAAGTTTGTGGGTAAATTATTTTTTCCTTCTACGATCTGCACAAATCTCCATCATATAATTTTTACTTTATATTTCACATGCAAATCATCTTTTCCCCTCATTTTTGCTTGTGTTTTTTTTTATCTTTTTATCCTTATATATATAGACTACATTTACCCTTTTTATTTTATCGTTTTTAGGTATATTCATCTCTTTGTACATTATCTTTTTTATAATAGCTTATCTTTTTATCTTTAAATTATTTTCTTTCTTTTCCTTTTGGCGGTGATCTCATGTATCGATTTTTGTTAGCCGACCCCAATATCTTTTGGGACTAAGGCTTGGATGTTGTTGTTGTTGTTGTTGTAGTATTTCACATGCAAATCAATTTCATTCACATTTTATGGGGGTACTAATTACTACTCCGTATCATTTTCCTTTTTAATAATATTTGTATCTGAATTCATCATTCATGAATATAATTTAATACGAAGTACTTTTTTTATATTCTAAAGTTAGAACATTTCGTTTTAAAATTTATTATGTTATGTCTATTAACTAATTATGTATGTAAATGTTTCTAATATTTTTCTAATAATTTTATTTATATGTAATGTCTATATGCTTACTTTTCTAATGTGTATTTGTAACTTACAACAATTAATGAGGTTTCTACTTAATCATTGATTGTTATTAACTATTGACATATTAAATAATGTTTAATTAATTGTGACAACAATTTTTCACTTCTTTTGGCTCCAAATAGATTTCTATTTGGATCTCCACCATATTCTCTTTATATATATAAAGATGTAATTCAGATTACTCGAGAAGGATCCATTTCATCTTAAGTCTACCCTAGTGCATTTGGCAGCAGCAATGGAACTGGGGCACTCAAATGAGCTGTATCTCATGGCATGTAACTTAGTCAAGGACTACCCTCAGCAGTGAGTAGCTTTACAATTGAACTTTGAGTTTTGGTTTGAGTTTTAGTTAACGTAACATTGGTTCTTTTCTTTCTGTATTTTCGTACATAACTACATATATTTTTTCCGTATTATGAATCTGTTCTACAACATATCACCATGGTCTGAGACTGTGAGGTCCCCAACATCTTGAACATGGCCTAAGGGCTTAATACAGCACTTCAGCGTAATGTCAGCTCGACATTACCAGCTCGGATTACAGGCTTGTAAAGGCAACTCAGAGTCTCAGACTATGTGCTTGGCTGTCACAGTGACTGGTTATAATTGATTCCAGGACTGTTACGCCCAAGTGGCCTAACAGCTCCACAATCTCCGTTATTGCAGACGTGCCGCATTAACTGCACAGGCTGCATATATGTAAGCCTTAACCGGCACACATGTATTGTCCCATGCTCACATATTACTGAATGTCTGAATACTTAAGTACTTAACCAATAAAAGCAATCTTACTACCATCCTTGCTTGCTTTCATACGCTAAAGACAAGACTCTTTTTTATGTGGCCCTTATTTATAGCGACACTATATATGGAATTCCATTATATCAATCAATCAATGCATAAATATCATGTATTAAGAGAAGATAAAAGTTCAGGAGATTTTTATTAAACAGGCCAAACACATCTTTTCTGCAATGTTTTCCATTATTGTGGAACTGGTGCTATTTGTTCTGAGTTATCTTTTTGGGGATCATTTTGAAATCTTGTCAACTTTACTGATGTGCCCTTTAATCCAGGGCATTATCATGGTTTGCCGTTGGTTGCTACTACTATTGTATAAAAAAGTATGATCAAGCACGTCGTTATTTCAGGTATCCATTTTATCTGCCTAGTTGTTCGTCTGACAATTAATGTCATGTTGGACCTGTTCTGCCACAGGATATAAAGCAACGTGGATGTCCAAAGAAATCTCATTCCTAACCCATGTTTCATTTTAATGCTTCATTAGGCATGTGGAGGTCATATTTCAAGTTAAACCCTATTAAGAACAAGAATGGGATTGGATGCAGTTTAGGAAAAGTTCATAATGATATATTTTTAAAATTTTCTGGTATGGTATTTAAAATTTGCAGCAAGGCCACGAGTTTGGATGGAACATTTGCTCCAGCTTGGATAGGTTATGGGAATGCTTATGCAGCTCGAGAAGAGGGAGACCAAGCAATGTCAGCCTACCGTACTGCTGCTCGCTTATTTCCAGGGTAATTTCACTAATCAGTTGGCATATGAGGCACACTAGATGGATCAAGATGGGGAATGTAAATTCATGGATAGTAAGAAATAGTTGTTAAACTAGTTGGAAACGGGAATAATTAATTTCATTTTACAACTCACTCTTACTTACCCTTTTGTGAAGTTAATTAATACTTGCTCTTACAGTCCTATCTTGCAATTTTAGAATGAAGATTTAAACAGGAATAAGCATGGGAATAGGAAGTTTAATGAACCGCATACCTAACAAGAAGAATGAACTATCTTTGTGGGACCAGGATGGAACGAAACAGGATACACATCATAGCCTATCTTTTTGGGACTAAGGAAGTATACTAATCTTGATTTGGATGAGAGTAAAATTCATCTCCATAAGGGGAAATAGTCAAAGATACCAGTATCCTGGCACACGACTTCACACAGCAAATGATTAAAAAAGGAACATATGCAGGCACATAGGGAAGGCTAAGTACTTGTTCTTAGTAGTTTAGATCAAATCAAGTATTTTGCAATTTTTCACCTTCTATCTTATTGTGGATGAATGAGAATAAAATCAAACTAAATGACATCTTTCTTATTTCAGATGCCATTTACCATCTTTGTACATAGGAATGGAGTATATGAGAACCCACAGCTTCAAACTTGCTGAACAGGTAAATATACATTAATCCCTGGATTTTTTTAGCATCCATACAAATTGGCATATTTGTTTCCGCTTGAAAGTTGTCCTATGTTTATGCCAAAGATCTTCTCTGCAGTTTTTTATGCAGGCAAAGGTAATATGCCCATTGGATCCACTTGTATACAATGAACTTGGAGTTGTTGCTTACCATATGAACGAGTATGAACTTTAAAACTGTTCACATGTGCACTCCTGCAATTTTTTGCATGTAATAATATTTCCTTGCAATGATGCAAGTATGCAACTTATCAAAATAAAATGTTTAGTTTACAAAAGGCATCATCTGAGGTGAGATTTTTAAGTGATCAAAGGTTTTGCTATGTAACAGCTTTTAATTATAAATAAAATAAATCAGTTTGCTGAATAGCTGTTAATTCATACTCTGTATTTAATTAAGAATTAGGTTGTTTTTTCAAATCTCACATATGGATTTGTTTTAATTTTCCCTTGACAAGTTTTCCGATTTTGAACACAATTTTTTCCTTTTTGCCTGCTTACATTTTCAGGTATATAAAAGCTGCCCATTGGTTCAAGAAGACATTGGCTCACATCTCATCTAGCCTGAGTGAGATGTGGGAACCAACTGTAGTAAATCTTGCTCACACTTTGCGAAAATTGAAGTATGTGAATTTTTTTCTACACTTTAGTGTGTTACTATATGATAGATTGAAAATATATCATCACTCTCTAGCTTTCTGTATGAGGAGATAATCTTTTCATTTTCCTGTCTGAATTTAGAAATTGCCTTTACAATTTCCAAGTTCTTCTAATCTCACTGGCTCAATGTAATATGATTCTCTCCAGTAGGCATTATTCTAAGCCCTATCTTGAACTTTCTTCCCAAGTAACTGTTTATTCTAAGCCTTTACTTTTTCCTTTTTTAGGATGTACAGTGAGGCAATTACATACTATGAAAAAGCCATTGCTTTGTCTACAAATAGTTTAAGTACTTATGCAGGACTTGCGTACACGTACCACCTGCAGGTAAATTGCATGGGCTGGGGTTTGATTTGACATTTTATTGCCATATGAAAACATAATTTTTACGTGGCTGGTACTTTACTTCATGCAGGGAGAGTTTACTGCAGCGATTACTTATTACCACAAAGTAAGCACCTAGATGAACTATTCTATGTAATGGTTCATAATTCTAAAACTCTAAATGTATATCTTGATTTATATTCGAGATTCAAAAAAAAAAAAAAAAAAAAAAGCATTTTGTGAGTCAGGGGGATAAGGCGCTGAGGCATTAAACAGGTCTAGTGCTTAATTGGAACATAGGCTGGGATAAGGCAGTTAGAACATTGGTCAGGGGGTAGGAAGTTACATTGTCAATCTATTTTTAGCTTGATGGTCAAACTATACTTGATGGTAAGTTGGTAACTACTTTTAGCTTCATTTTTTGTTTGATGCAGGCTTTATGGCTCAACCCAGCTGATAAATTCTGCACAGAAATGCTGACATTGGCTCTAGCTGATGAATGTCGACAAGCCCCTGCTCTACCAAAACCATATAATGTTGAGCTGTGAAATTTAGATGGCACACAGGGGGAGGTTAGGGGGGGGGGGGGCACGGGGGAGGTTGTTTGTAATGTAATTTATTTGTAGCTGTTGATATTAATGATTGTGATAGACTATTGTTTTGCATCCATAATAGCATGTAAAAATATCAAATGATAGATAAAAAGACTGCATATTTAACAAAATGATACTAATGAAAAGTGTTATTTTGTTATAGAAAAATAGAAAATACCATTAACTGTCATCGTCCTGTTCGCCTTCACATGCAAAGTGCTGATATTCTAAATTTTGAATACAATCATTTTGTATTATTGCCATCTGACTATTATCTTTTAAAGTACAATAATTTGTTAATCCCATCTGATATCCGGAATCACTCTTAATATCAGAAAACTGAAAATGAAATCATATGCAGCCCTCTCTCCATGACCTCCATCTGATTTCCCGCTTCCGCCGGATTTATGGCTTTGATGTAATGCAGCCCTCTCCTGCTTTCGCCGATTTCTGGCTTTGATGTAATGCAGCCCTTTCCCGCTTTCGCCAATTTCTGGCTTTGATGTAAAGCAGCCCTTTCCCGCTTTCGCCGATTTCCGGATTTTTCAGCCAATCCACTTTCACCATTTGCTTCCTAGAAAGCCAACCACAACAACAAAATTGCAAGTCTTCAGACACTTGACTTCTTAAGCTCATGAAATAATATATATCAGAGATCTTGAACTACTATTAGTTTCAATATAATAATAATAATTCTTCCAAATCATGTCCACAATAAGAAAAATTAAGTAGCTGCATTAGCTTTTCACGCACTCATTTACATGCAAGTTTTCATAAATATACTCCGTATATATCTTCAATCATCTCTTTTAGTTAGTCATTTTTACATCAAATACTAAACTTTGAGCGACATTATATTTATCTTGAAAAGTATTTATAATATGAAAATAGTATAAATATGTGTTTTATAGTCCGGCCCCATACCTGCCAAATTAAACTCGAACATGAAATGGCTGGCCGATGGCTGGATTTGCCTTCATTGAGCCAGTAGAAATCCAGTCAACAAATTGGGATTTGACCAAACTGGACACAAACTTTGACCGAACAGTTCGTCCTTACTGCAATAGCTGCATGGGAAAACGAAACAGTTTCCTCAAGGAATTGAAGTTGGACCTGCCGGCCTATAACAACATATTGCCATTATAATCACTTACAGATCCAGCTTTGGTCAACCCCGGTCCACGGTCAGGCGGGTCTTCATCCGGGCAGGTTCCTCTCACTCTCTCAGGACTCAGATCAGCACCTGCACATAGCCATGGAAGCCAGGAAGAGCAGACCTGCAAAACAAACAAGACAAACTGTCACTGCATAGTTAGAGAACCAAGTCAACGGCTTCCACTTCGCCGTCTCCACGCTGGAGCTCTTCATCCTCTTCCCGCCGACCACCGTGTGCTTCGACAAATCGAAGCTCGCCCCTTTCATTCTCAGCTCCTGCACACACCTCGTCACTCCCCTGCTCTCGCTCCTCGCCCTCTGCACCTGCCCGCACATCTTCCAGAACCGGCGGAGCTTCACGTGCACGAGGAACGCGATGAACAGGGAAGTGGCCGTGAGCGCAGCCGGCGGGATGACCCACCATTTCCGGCACGGGCCCTGCTCCTGCTGCTCTGGGTATGATGTGAACAGAATGGTGAAGAATATTCCGGAGAATGTGAAGATCAGAAGGCAGAGCTGGAAGATCTCGCGGCGGAGCGCGTCCAGGCGCGCTTCTTTCGCGGCGATCTTGCGGCCGAAGAGGTCCTCTTCTCTCTGCAGAAGCTTCAGAAGTAAGAGGTGCCCCGGGCTTCGAGAGATCTCCATTAATGGGTGGTGTTGAATTGCAGAGGGGCTCTGTTTCTTTTCTTCCTCTGTTTCTACTGGGATTTCAACGACGTGTGTATCTTTTTTCATTTCTGCCATCGCCTGATCAGATGTGATCCTGATTATTAAAAATACTGAAAACAGGGAGAAGTAATTAAATCCGAATGTATGTAATTGGAAACTTGATCTCAAATTCAAAATGGTAAGCGCTAGAAATCAGAGAAGTTGAAGATATAGTGAATCTAAGAACGAAATTTGCTTTTGTTGTTGCAGATAGAGAGCAAGCTCCTCCGATTATTTAACACTGGGACTTTTTCCTAACGGTCATATTCCGGGAGCTCAACGGTCTTTCATATTGAAGATGCTTTCCAACGGCTATAATTTGACAATTTTGTCTTACGCTTACATGTTCCAACTTCCAAGTCCCAACGGGAGAAATCATGTGATATAACATGATGAGGTTACTTGCGCATTATGTCATTGTTCTTGGAAATAAATATAAAATGTTTTACAATTGAAATATAGGAATAATGTGTTTTTATTCCATAAATATGTGTAGTTATTGTGAACTTTCGAAAATATTATCATATTCATAGGTACTAATGTTGTGTATGATAATTGTGTAAATCTAATTGGTGCAATAATTTACCTCGGAAATATCCCTTCAACTAAATCAATTCATTGTGCAAATTTATCTGGATGTTTTTACTTGGACTGTAATTTGCTGGTCTGGTTTGATTTGGTCTGGTTTGGTCTGGTTTCTATGTATTATAACTATCCAAGTCTGATCTGGTATGATCTGGTTTCTTTGTATTTTTATAACTACCCAATTCTGGTCTGGTATGGTATGGTATGGTCTGGTCTGGGACGAATTAGTAAAAACATCCTCAGTATCATTCGATCAGGGCATAACTTTGCCCGAAAATTCTAGCTGTACACTTTTGTGTACATATTATACATACGTATGTGAACATGCTATTCTTTTGTTTGTGAATAGTCTAGACAAAACATGTTTATTGAAAAAAAGTATGTACAAATAGTTTTTTCAACTTAGCTTACTTAAATTAAATATCCCCGGAACGTTCTATCATATTAAGCACATGTTTAGATGAAGTTTGAATAGTTTGACATTAGATACAGTTTCATCCAATGTTGTGGCTCCTTGTGCGTATTAGGCTCTGAACCACATCAATAAAAAATTATTTGAAATCGTAGTATGGTTTACTTCTCCTTCATACTGTCGAGTTAGACTGGTGGCGAACCCCGAATGGGTCATTCTACCTTTTGAGTTGATGAAATGGATATAAAGATTTTGCTATGCTATTCATTCATTTGAAAAGACGTGTTTCCAAACTCTAGCATTATCCTAGGGAGTATCTTTTTAATCACGCAATGAAATGTGACACGCAATAATATTATTTGTAAATGTCAAACTTTCATGTACACAGTATATCTCGATTATGTCTGTATATAGTTTCTTATTTAATGTGACACAATTAATTCAAAGATAATACTAATTGAAAACATGCACTATGAGAGCCCTTTAATTAATTATTTGTGAAATGGGCATTGCTTAACGCTGGAATCAGAGATCTTTGTGCCTTTGAGAAGCCCACCAAAAAGCTCTGCTGGGTCATAGTATATCTCCACTTCCTCCGCCCTCAAAGAGTCATCCACCTGCAAGGATCATAACCACACATGCATGGAAACATTAAAGACAGAAATAAGTTTGATATAAAGAAGTTGATTTCAAGCTCTTTTTAGTGAATGAAATCAGTTTTAAAACTACATGATTTATTGGTTCTTAAATTATGAGAATGAGAACTATCAAAGAGAATGGGAACTATTAGATCACCGGAAATAGAGTAATATATCTCCATTCTCCTACAAAGATTTTCTCATATTTTCTGTTTGGTCCATTTCACTAAAATTGTTCGATCTCAAATTTAGTAATGTTTGTGTATTCAAAATAGCTCTCATCTTGTTTTTACTTCTATCAATTGAATACAATCACATAAGCTCATTTTTCTTAACAATCGGATCATGAAACGAAGATAGTATGAACGAACCTTCATGATTCCCATCCCATAGAACTCAACTAACTCTCCTGTAGGAGAATGGCCTTTGAAGGGTCCTTCAAAATAACCCCAATGCCTAAACTTGAAAGCAATCACAGGTGGACCTGAATATACTTTGATGACCTCCCACGCAAATCCACGGGGAAAAGCCGACCGGAAGGCATCGTGAGACGACTCAAAGCTCTCCTCATCAGCCTTGTAAAACTTCAGCTCTTCCGGCAGCGAACTCTTCAACAATGCGTTGTAACTCCCCAGCTTTAAGGTTTCTTCACCTGACAGTCCATCTCTCCCTGATCATCAATATTCAATACCATATTCAGTTAGTGATAGATACAAGATTTTTGTACCTGATCCAAATCACATTAAAGAAGCATATTTCACATCAGTTAAATCATGAATAAATAACTAATCAGATCATTTTTATAATTCAAATATGATTGAATTTAAAATATATTAGAAATAATGCTTATGTGGTAAATGATGGAGTCCAAGTCAGCATCATCTTGATCCCCATTTATATCTAACGTAACCCTAAAGAAAAGCTTCCTTCTTCCTATCTCTTCCATCTACTGATCTGTAAGGATCGGATTCCGTCTCCGGCTCAGGTCTTTCTACACACTACTCACATACACCACACTAGGAGGAGGCTATAACACACCTATCTCTCAACTCTCTTCTTCTAACCACAAAGGAACTCACAAAGAGGAAGAAGGAAGACACTGCTCTCTGGAAGTGTTACTCTCGCAGGCTTCATTCACAAAGAAGGGGGGAGTGTTGACTTATAGTAGGCTGCCAGCCAATGGGCAGACAACAAGGACAGTCACAAGATGGCCAAGGACACTCACGGGTATAAGCCAAGCCAAAAGAGAGGGTGCAGCGGACAGAAGCAATGGGGCAGATTCCAGATATATTATTGATCAGGTAATATACCAAGGTAAAGGTGTCAAAGAGGGAGTAAATCAATAGGGTGCAAGCCTCAGCTAATAAAGTGGAAGGGAGGCCTTGGTAGGACCAATACCTCCAACATTCTCCACCTTATTGGTCCTAGGTGGTGTAGAGTAACAAAACAAAGTTGTGACAAGACTCGTCATCGCCGGGTCACCCGGAATATCAACAGACACAACGGGCAAACACTTTATTAGGCAACCCACAGTTATCCACAGTCAAAGTTTAACACGCGTTTACAGGACAAGTGCTTCTCAGCAGAAAGACACTTGGTACCCATATCCGCGGGGTTAAACTCGGACGGGATCTTGCACAGCTTGACTCCATCTGCATCAACAATATCACGTATGAAATGGAACCTAACATCAATATGCTTAGTTCTATCATGAAAAACAGGATTTTTGCAAAGTTGGATAGCCGATTGGCTATCCGAGAAAATGGTAACTCCCTTTTTGAGAAACCCAATTTCGGAGACAAGGCGTTTGAGCCAGATGGCTTCCTTAAACGCTTCTGTGGCTGCAACATACTCGGACTCAGTGGTAGAAAGGGCCACAATAGGCTGTAGTTGAGACTTCCAACTAATGCAAGAGCCACACAAAGTAAAAACATAAGAAGTGGTCGACTTCCTGTTATCTCTATCATTTGCATAGTTAGAATCAACATAACCAATCAATTCAATACCACTAGCACATTTAGAGAAAATTAATCCATGCTTCACAGTAGAAATCAGATATCTAAGCAACCACTTAAGAGCATTCCAATGGGGCAAACCAGGGTTGGACATATATCTACTCAAGCAACTAACCGCATATGCAATATCAGGTCTAGTGCTAACCATAAGATACATCACCGACCCTATTGCGCTGGAATAAGGCACAGATTTCATTTTCTCAATTTCAGGAGCAGTCTTGGGAGACTGGTCCTTACTTAACACAAAGTGAGATGCCATAGGGACATTAACAGGAGAAGCAGATAACATATTAAATTTACTCAAAACTTTTTCTATGTAAGAAATCTGATTCAAAGTAAGAGTACGCTTACTCCTATCCCTAACAATGTTTATGCCTAGGATCCTCTTGGCATCACCTAGGTCTTTCATGGCAAAATTCGCACAAAGACATTTCTGCACATCTTTAATAGCATTCAGAGAAGGACTAATTATCAGCATGTCATCCACATAGAGTAACAAAAATACAGGCACAGAAGAAGTATTTTTGAAATACAGGCAATGATCACAAACAGATCTTTGGAACTTCAAAGATATCATGCATTTATCAAATTTGATGTTCCACTGCCTAGGGGATTGCTTCAGGCCATACAAAGCCTTCCTAAGCAAACAGACATGCTCACTTCTCTTGGGATCCACAAAGCCCTCAGGCTGGGTCATATAAATTGTTTTGTCCAATTCACCATGCAAAAATGCAGTAGTTACATCCATTTGTTTCATTTCCCAGTCATGGTGAGCAACTAAAGCAAGCATCATACGAATAGTGGTGAATTTAACAACAGGAGCAAAGATTTCTGCATAATCTACCCCCTCTTTTTGAGTAAACCCTTTCGCAACCAACCTAGCCTTAAACCTAACATCACTAGGTTCTTCCTTAACCTTAAACAACCACTTACACTCAACTACCGAACAGTTGGGGGGTCTAGGTACAAGGGTCCAAGTCTGGTTCACTCTCAAAGAGTCCATCTCACTTTTCATGGCACTAATCCATTTCTGAGACTCTTTGGAACCTAAGGCTTCACGGTAGGTCTTGGGTTCATTCAGTTCTAGGGATTCAAACACAGAAAATGCAAACATAGAAGTATCATGCACAATGAAAGCATAATCAGGCATACTATCAGCAGTTCTCCTGATAGCCCTTCTACTCCTATCTCTAGCAAGTTGATAATTATGCAAATTATCACTACTAGGCTCCTCATGCAACTCATGCAAATTATTGTTATCATGAAAATCAGATTCAGCACCCATATCATGCAAATCATGCTCAGTATCATGCAAATGCTCCACCTCACTCGAGGTGGTGGGACTAACATGCTCAGAGGAATCAGAATCATGCATAACAATATCATCAGAAATAACAGGATCAACAGATAAAGGACTAGCAGCAACAGGGACAGACTCCACCTCACTAGGAGTACTATCAGACCTAGACTCAAGATTAGAAGCAGACTCGGTCAAGCAAGGAAAATCAGTTTCATTAAACACCACATTTCTGCTAAGGACCACTTTAAAACCTACCTGGTTCCTATCCCATAACCTGTAACCCTTTACCCCCTCTGGATAACCTAGGAAGACACACTTCTTAGACCTAGGATCCAACTTGTCACCCTGTTGATGTGCATACGCTGCACAACCAAACACCCGAAGGTTAGACAGATCAAGAGGCTTACCGGTAAAGACGGTTTCAGGACACTTACCACCAAGAGGGACAGACGGGGACCTATTAACCAAATAGGCAGCAGTAGTAACTGCTTCACCCCAGAATTTCTTAGACAAACCAGAGGTAGCTAACATGCTTCTAACCTTATCCAACAGAGACCTATTCATTCTCTCTGCTATCCCATTCTGTTGGGGAGTATAAGGCACAGTTTTGTGCCTTTTTATCCCACAATCCACACACAGCTTATCCATCTCCTTATTACAAAACTCTAACCCGTTATCAGTCCTAAGGGTTTTAACCTTCCTGCCAGTCTGGTTTTCAACTAGGGTTTTCCACTCCCTAAACCTCACAAACACATCAGACTTGTGTTCTAAAAGGCAAACCCACACCTTTCTAGAGAAGTCATCAATAATAGAAAGGAAATATTTCCTACCCCCGTGGGTAGGAACACTGGCAGGACCCCAAACATCAGCATGAACATATTCAAGCACAGACGAACACTTAGACAGATTAGGGTAAGAGGAAGGAGGGAAGCTGACTTTATGCTGCTTGCCTAACACACATGATTCACAGAAAGGCACAGAAGTCACAGAGTCCTTACCAAAATAACCAGCCCTACGCATGACATCTAAACCCTTATTGCTCATATGTCCTAGCCTATTATGCCACAAAGAGGTCTTATCAGAACATACAACATTCACAGACTCAGCAAAAGGTTTAGCATGACACACATAAAGGTTATTCACCTTCTCAGCTTTAAACAAAACAAGCGAGTTTTTCAGGATTTTCATACAACCATTCCCCCATTTTCCCTGTAACCCACCACTTTCCAAAGCAGCAACAGATAACAAGTTATGACACAAATCAGGGACATGCCTCACATTCTTAATGGTAAACACAGAGCCACAAGAAAACTTCAGACATATATCACCAACACCAAGCACATTGCATCTCTTATTATCAGCTAAGGAAACGTAGCCACTATCACATAACTCATATGTAGAAAACAAATCTCTAAAGGGGGACATGTGATAGGTACAACCAGAGTCAATCAACCATTCATGCTCAGACAGGGAATTTCTCACAGAGTTAACATGGTCACAAACCATCAAAATATCACCAAGGTCACATTTATCAACAGCTACACTAGCATGCTCGGTCTTCTTAGGGTGGGGGCAATCCTTAATGAAATGGCCAGCGTTACCACAATTGTAACACACTCTCTTCCTAGATTTACTCCTCTTCCTCCCAGGCTGACTAGTGTTCTTACCCTGACTATTTTGCTTAGAGTTCTTAGACCTACCCTTAGATCTACCCCTAACAAACATAGCCTCACCGGAGTCCCTGGACTGACTAGCACTACCCCTAGCATGCTTCAGGTCTAATTCCTTACTCCTTAATCCATTCACAACAATGTCTAACGAAATCTCATCCCTACCATACTTAATAGCGGACTTAACATCATTATATGAGTCGGGAATGGCATTAAGTAATACTATGGGAGTGTAATCATCTATGTGTTTATCACCTGCCTGTTTGATATTCTGTATCAGTTTATTAAACACATCCAGGTTCTCATCTATATCCTTAGTCAGGTCAAGCCTAAACCTAAAGAATTTCTCTAGTAAGAACAACTTCCCGGGCAAAGAGGTATCAGTATAGAGACTATCCAATTTCTCCCACAACTCCTTAGCGGACTCAAGAATACCTACTTTCCTAAGCACAGAATCAGACAGATTCAAGTAAATAGTAGAACAAGCAGTTTCGTTCATTTCAATTTGCTTAGCCTTATCTTCTGATTCTAGGAAAATACCAGTGACAGCTCTGAAAACTTTTTGATGTATTAAAACACACTTAATTTTCTGTTTCCAAATATCAAAATCTGTTTTTCCATTAAATGGAAGCATACCATACTGATTTGCAGCCATTGTATCAACCACAAAGGAACACAAAGCTAAACAGATAGAAATGACAGAAAATAATCCAACCCGGGTTATAAAGTATTCACTTTAATAACCCCGGGCAGCATGCAACACATAGCAAAAAAAAATGGACATTTTGGCAATTTAAACAATTCCAGGCAGAAAAATTAAATTTAATTAATTCTACCCCTACCACCCGATAAACCACCCCTATGCATAACAATTAATTTAAATACACACAAAGCAATTTAATTAATTAACTAAAACAGTCTATCACAAAGGAGAAAGTTTAGAACGTACCTGGGGGGTTGGCGGCCGGGATTAAATCAACCGGCGGCCCGCGGGGAGGGGGAATAAAATTAAATTAAATTAAAACCGGAATAAAACAAAAAACATTACTCGAAAAACTCACCTTCGCGAAACCCTAGGAGAGCGTTTCGACCTTACCTACCCAAATTTAAAAAATTTGGGATTTTTTTTTGGAGGGTTGACTACCGTTGACCGGCGTTGACCGACGTTGACCGGCGGTGGTTGACCGACGTCCAGCAGCTCCAGCCCGGTCCACGATCCAGCCCAACACCCCAGCTCCAGTCCAGCTCCAACTTTGTCCTTCACAAAGTCAGTCTCGGTCCAGCTTCCAGCTTTAGTCAGCCCACAAACCCAACAACAATCCAGGTCAGCAATATCAGCAGCAACCTAGCAGCCCAAAAAAGCCCAATAGCCCAGAGGCTCAACAGACTGCTCCAGCAGTCCAAATCATCATCGGTCCAGCAGCTCCTTCAGTAAGAACGCATCTGGCGTTTCTTGTACGCGAGGCCTGCGACGAACCAAGACCGGCCTCTGTCAATTTCAGAGGAAGACGCACAGAGGCGACGGATGGCGGTCTATCGACGGCGAGGAACGAGCGGCGGCGATTGTCCGGTGTCAGCGATTCTCAGGCAACGGTCAGGACCTCTGGTGGTGATGCACAGTGACCTCGACGGCGGAACTCCCAGGCGACGGCTGAAACTTCGGGTATGCTGTCTTGAGCTTCTGACAAGCCTGATTTCGACAAGAAGAAGTCACGGTGGAAGGCCAGTGAGTTCGTGCGAGCAACCAGGCAACTCCAGCGACCTTGGCGAGTTCCAATTGACGGCGGCGGCGGCGGCGTACGGCGGCGTACGGCGGCAGACGGCGAACCAGGCTCTGATACCACTGTAAGGATCGGATTCCGTCTCCGGCTCAGGTCTTTCTACACACTACTCACATACACCACACTAGGAGGAGGCTATAACACACCTATCTCTCAACTCTCTTCTTCTAACCACAAAGGAACTCACAAAGAGGAAGAAGGAAGACACTGCTCTCTGGAAGTGTTACTCTCGCAGGCTTCATTCACAAAGAAGGGGGAGTGTTGACTTATAGTAGGCTGCCAGCCAATGGGCAGACAACAAGGACAGTCACAAGATGGCCAAGGACACTCACGGGTATAAGCCAAGCCAAAAGAGAGGGTGCAGCGGACAGAAGCAATGGGGCAGATTCCAGATATATTATTGATCAGGTAATATACCAAGGTAAAGGTGTCAAAGAGGGAGTAAATCAATAGGGTGCAAGCCTCAGCTAATAAAGTGGAAGGGAGGTCTTGGTAGGACCAATACCTCCAACATGATCTATGAGGTGAAAAGAGGAGCTGCTTCGTGTTCTAGAGGAAGACATCCACATTTCTCTCCTCCCCATCACCTATTGGCCGAGCTACTATAAGGACATGTTTACTTCACCGGTTATTAAACGGTGCTTATTAAGACCCGTGTTAATAAGCGGCGCATAAAATAAACAATGTTGTAAGACCGTGTTTACTTCAAACGGTTTAAAACACCGCTTAACATTAAAATGTCCAAAATAACCCTATACATATATATACACACAAACATTCATGAACACAAGTATATATAATATAATATGTGTACCCATACCCCTAACCCCTTACCCACCCTACCTTACCCCGACCCCACCCACCCCCTACCCCTACCCTACCTACCTGACCCTACCTACCCGACCCCCCTACCCGACCCCACCCTAACTTGTCCCTACCCTACCGCAACCCTACCCCCGACCCCATAGGCCCCTACCCCCATAGGCCCTTACCACATCGACCCCACCCTGACCCCACCTTACCCTACCTCACCCCAACCCCGCCCCTACCCCTACCCTACCCGACCCACCCCCTACCCCACCACACCTACCCTGCCCCTAGCGCCTCTATCACATCGGCCCCACCCTGACCCCACCACCCTAGGTATAGTGGGGTAAGGGGTGGGGTAAGGGGTATAAGGTGGGGTGATTGAGGTCAGGTAGTGGTAGGGTGGGTCGGGTAGGTAGGGTAGGGGTGGGGTTGGGTAGGTAGGGTAATGGTAGGGTGGTTTCGGGTAGGTAGGGTAGTGGTAAGGTGGGTTCGGGTAGGTAGGGTGGGGGTTGAGGCGGGGTAGGGGGTAGGGTAGGGGTAGGTCGGATAGGGTAGGGTGGGGTCGGGTATGTGGGTAAGGGGTGGGGTAGGTAGGGTAGTGGTAGGGTGGGGTCGGGTAGGGGTAGGGGTAAGGTGGGGTCGGGTAGGGGTAGGGTAGGGGTGGGGTCGGGGGTAAGGGTAGTGTAGGTGGGGGTAAGGGTAGGGTGGGGGGTCGGTTAGGTAGGGTAGGGGTGTCTGGTAATGGGGTAGGGTAGGGGTAAGGTGGGGTACGTGTAGGGTGGGGTCGGACAGGTAATGTTGGGGTAGGGTGGGGTCGGGGTAGTGGTAGGGGGTCGGGTAGGTAGGGGTAGGGTCGGGGTAGGTAAGGGTAGGGTGGGGGTCGGTTAGGTAGGGTAGGGTCGGGGTGGGGTAGGGTAGGGTGGGATGGGTTAAGGGTAGGGTGGGGTCAGGGTGGGGTGGGGTAGGTGGGGTTGGGGTCGAGGTGGGGCAGGGATAACAATAGGTTAAGGGCAATGGGTAAATTCGGAAACTGAAAAAGCTTAAAGTGCCGCTTAATTAATACATGGGGGGGTGGTATGCTTAATAAACGGCACTTTAAGTACCTCTTTCGGTTAGTAAGCGGCTTTTTAAGCAGTGTGCGTGTTTACTTCACCTGTCTTACTAACCTAACTGTGACTTTAGCAGTGAAGTAAACGCCTCCTAAGTGTGCTAAGATATTACTCCCAATTTTTGTTGTTGGAGACTTTTATTTATTTTTAAAATAAAAAGTGCTTTGTGTTTTTAAATTGGACTGTGGAAATGGCTAGAGGGTCTTGACTATGGGTGCGGCGATGTGTGTCATGGCTTCACTGAAGTGAGAATTAAAGTGGAAAGTGGTTTGTATGCATATAATGTTTAGCAAGTGGAACATGTGGATTTGATTTTACCATATTTAATTAAGTGTGGTATATTAATGTCTAAACTCAAATTTGTACTCAATTAACATTATTTTTCCAAGTATGAATATAACCAACCGTCCAGCCACCAAATTACTCCAATGCATCCAATTTAATGTACTTATTTGACACTTTTTTTTATAGATTTTATGTATCTGCTAATGTTTTATGAATATTCCATAATTAAATAAGAAAGACAAAAATATGACTTATTTTGAATTTTCCAAAAAGTAACTAATCGTGTTCTTTATTATAATATAGAAATAGTTACATAAATATGACCAAAATAAAGATGATTTACAAAAATATGACTAGTTACTAGAGTAATAATGAAATCATAGTAATTCATGTTCAAGTTTTGAATTTAAGTTACTACAACACTAAGTTGTAGTCTGAATAATCATATTTAAGTAAATAAGTTTTATTTTAGAAATATTCTTGTAAAACCATTATATACTTCGTATTACATTTATTATTTTAGTATTACATTTATTATAATGAGAATATAACCAACCGTCCAGCCACCAAACTACTCCCAACCGTCCGCTGGATGAATAGGTCTTGTATGGATAAAATTCCCCCTTTTAATTGTATTTGGACCAAATAGCAAGTATTTTGCACTAAAAAACATATAAAGACATTTTTACAGGTGGACTCATTTTAAAAAATTTGATGTTTTGACTTTGCAATTGAAGTCCAATAAAAACAATTTAAATTTTTCATATCTAAAGTCGGACTTATAAAAGCTAGGAACCTCTCTTTTTAGGGTTGTTTAATTTGGATCTACTTCTGCTCTTTCGGAGCGAAAGAACAAATATTAAAGTGTAATTTTAATTTCAAGTTTAGCTCCTTCATTTTCAGCCACCAGTGGCCCATGTGAGGATACTTTATGGGCCACTTAAGTGTTGTGGCCCATTGAAACACTAATTTTTCAATTTCGATATTTACACTATTTTTAGGGAAATTTCAAACAAGGATTGCTAATAATTAGGTAACTTGCGTATTTTACTAACATAAACAGCACGTATATATATCAAATTATATGCAAGAACGTACAAAAATGTTGAGTACTTCATTTTCAGAACAATTTAGATACTCCGTATGTGCAATTGACAATTAACTTTTGATTCTCAGCTCGACACTTTATTTTGACCTTTTCCATCTTCAATGTTCTTTCGTAAATTTCAATAGTAAAAAATATTAGGCAAATGTCCTTTGTTATTGTACTATTTCGAAATAACCCGAAATTGTGGTCCTATTCATTTAAGAGATAATTTTATGAGAAATAATAGGATAATTGAAGAACAAAAGAAAAATGTAGAAAGAAAACATTATACCATGTAATGGTACGATGGTCGCACAATATAATTTTATGATCCTGAGGATGTAGAAAACTGAGGTGTTCTATCTTATTATTCATCTACGTAATATGTCAATATTTATACAATGGTTATGCTTAAGTAATAAAGGAAACAAAATCACCTATACAAGTAAAGAACTAGATTTACATAAATAAAATATTCTTGCAGATTTACAAATATTATGTGATATACTTTCCCTTACCCCCTCAAGTTGGAGCGTGAAGATAAAAAACGCCCAACTTGCCTCGCAAATGTCAAAACTGATCGCCTCCCAGGGGTTTTGTTAGAATATCAGCTATTTGATTCTTCGTGTCAATGTAAAGAGGTTTTATCTCGCATGATTCTCTCACGAACAAAATAGCAAACCATTTCAACATGTTTTGTTCGTTCGTGGAAAACTGGATTGTTAGCAATATGACGTGCAGCTTGATTGTCGCAATAAAGCGGAGTTGCATCATGTTGCACGGCCTGTAGATCACGGAGGAGCCACCGCAACCATAGAATCTCGCTTACTGCTGCTGCCATTGCTCTGTACTCCGCTTCAGCGGAGGATCGGGATACAACAGATTGTTTCTTGGTCCTCCAAGAAATGGGTGCCCCGCCAAGCATTACCAGATACACAGTGCGTGAACATCGTGTGAGCAAGCAGCCTCCTCAATCGGGATCGCAGAAAGTGCTTAATCTCAAATCACCATGTTTTGGTAAAAGTATACCTTGCCCAAGTGTGTCGCTTTTAAATAACGTAGGACCCGAACTGCCGCATCCATATGAATTTGCTGAGGGTCTGCAATGAATTGGCTCAACATATTGACAACAAGCGTATCATCAGGTCTGGTAACTTGTAAATATAGTAGGCGACCGATCAACCTTCTATATTTGGAAGCATTAACAGAAGGTGTGACTGTCTCTTTATCCTTGTGAGCGTTCTGTTCCATAGGGAACAAGCTGGGCCGACATCCCTGCAATCAACTACTCCCTCTGTATCACATATATCTTCCCACTTTCAAAGTGGGTGAGATTAATAATAGTGAAAGGGGATATAAATTATTGAGGGTATGATGGGAAGATAGTGAAATAATATGATGGAATAAAGGATAAATCCAAAAAAAGTAGGTGTAATAGTGTATTATTTTTGAAATTATTGGGGGTATGATGAGCAGATTTTGAAATGGGAAGATATAAATGTTACGTCCATAAAAGGAAAGTGGGAAGATATGAATGTTAAGGAGGGAGTATATGTCAGTAGATTCAATGTATATTTGCGTTGGCTGGGCACCAAGTCCTTGAGATGTCCAGGCCACTTCTATACCAAGGAAGTATTTTAGCCGTCCCAAATCTTTGATGTTAAAGCACTCGTTGAGGTATCTCTTGCTTGCACTGATTTGGGAGTCACAATTGCCAACAAGAATGACATCATCCACATATATAAGGATAGCAAGATAGTCCCTACCTCGCTTATAAGTAAAAAGAGAATGGTCAGCTCATGATTGACAAAAACTAATGTCCAATAAGGCCTTCGTAAACTTGTGATACCAGTTGCGCAAAGCTTAGCTGCGTCCATAGAGTGATTTCCGGACTCGACAAACTCTATTGTCACCTGCCTTGGAAAATCCATGTGGTATTTTCATGTATACTTCCTCTATTAGGTCTCCATGCAGGAATGCGTTATTTACGTCCAACTGGTGAGTTGTCCAATCCTTCTTAGCTGCAACGGCAAGTAAGGTCCGAACCGTGACTAACTTTGCAACAGGAGCAAACATCTCAAGGAAATCGATCCCTTCAACTTGAGTGTACTCCTTTGCAACCAAGTGTGCCTTGTATCGTTCCACCTCTCTGGTAAGTTTGTATTTGATCTTATATACCCACTTTGAGTCCACGGCTCGTTTTCCAGGTGGTAGATTTTCAAGTGTCCAAGTCCCATTCTGCTCAAGGGCTTTGACTTCATTTTCCATAGCATCGCGCCATCGAGGATCCTTACAGCCTGATGGAAAAAATTTGGCTCATCGTGCGAAGCGATGGCCAATAACAAAGCCTTATGGGAAGGGGGAAAATGTTTATAAGAGACAAAGTGAGCTAGGGAGTGTACCGTTGAGGATCCTTGACTAGTTGTGGGTCGCAAATGGTCTATGGAAGGTGGTAGATTAGTTACTGTTGGTCCCGTTAAATATGGTAACCAGTCTAGAGGGGGGGGGGGTGAATAGACTGGTCGGTTTTTCAAATTTTCTCTAAGTCCGAAGTGACTTATCAGAGAAGGTCTGATTCTGATGACAGAGAAAGGCTGGTTCTGATATCAGAACTGGCCTTGGCAGCGGATTCTGATCTGTCCGGGTAGCCTCAGAAACACTAAGGCAAATGCCTTTCTGATAACTCTTAAAACAAGATCTGCTGAACACAGATTCCAAGTCTTAGAGTTAATCAGTTAATATCCTAAGTGCAGAAATGAAAATTGCAGTAAAGTAAATGACACCGGATATTTTATAGTGGTTCAAGGAACAACTCGTTCCTCTAGTCCACTGTTCCACTAGCTTTGAAGTAGATCGGTTACAAAGCTTAGTTCCTAGCACTTAAGAAGTTCTCCACGCCTTCTTCAAGTCTAGCTGCCACCCAGGATGCAATTCCACGTCCTGATGGCTGGTCCTTTCACTCAGCTTCCCGGAAGTATCACCACTTCACTACTGCAGTTACTTGGACGCCCTTCTTTTCAGAAGATCCTTTGAAAAACAGAGTTTTTCCTCCAACTTGCTTCGTTACAAAGGATGTTTGATGAAGTTTTTGAAGTGTTGAAGAACAGGATGAACTTTGCTTGTTTGTTGGGGATGAGAGATTTGGAGTTTGAATCTTCCCAACGTAAGCTTGTCTTGTTGAAGGTTGTTAGAATTTGAATCTCAAGAGAGCTTGAATGATGATGAGCAAAAGTTGTAGCAAAGTTGTTTTTCTGTTCTTCGGTGTGTAGCTTATATACTGAGGTTGTCTGCCCGTTGGAGGAGGAGACAACTGCATTAAATGTGCGTACAGTTGACTTGACCGCCGTTTTGGAAGGTTTCTATTTTTATAATATATCTTCCCGGATTCCTTGGTCAATCATTTGCAATCAATCCTTCAGCGTATCAGGCTCATTTAATGTGCATTAAATGCTTTCCTTTCATGCACAGTCTTCTAGCCGTTGGATGTTTTTACCCGTTGAATTCATAGCTGTTGGATGTTGCTTGAAATCGTCTGAGTGTTCGTCGAGCTCTGATCAGGTTCTTCTGATATGTTGGATTCTGATGGCTGTCTGATGAGTTGAGTTCTGATGGTCTTCTGATCTCTGACTGAACTCTGACTCTGATAGGTCCGCTGATGAGTGCTTCTGATCTGTAGTTCTCATAGGCTATCAGATGTCCAGGCTTATCAGCAACTCTCATGATGCAACTCTGATGGACTTCTGGTAAGAGAACTCTGATGGAGCAGTTCTCATAGAGGAAGTCTGGTCGAGCAGTTCTGATGCACTTCTGATCTGATCCAAAATAGAGCAACTCTGATCGTCGACTACACTAATACTTACAATTAAAAAATCTAATACATAAAATCTAACTTGGGGGTACTCTAACTTTCTAATCCTATAGCATCATCAAAATCTAATTACATTTATTCCTTACAATTTCCCCCTTTTTGATGATGCCAAAACCCTTAAACTATTTCCAGAGAAGTGCCTTTCACCATAAAGAAAATAAGTAAAAAAATAAACTTTCATTTAAAAACTTGGTGGGCACTTAGCATAGGAAAGTAGTAAGAGTGAGATACAATCAATCACGCAATAATCAAATGAGAAATAACATAAGGTATCAGAGCATAAAAAGTCAGAGTGCAAATAGAGATAATTTGAAATTGCCATGCAAAATAGAGGCAAGCTGGTTATCTTATTAATGAAAGATATTTAAAGCAACAAGAGGATAGAGTTTAGATATCTTCCTCTTCTAGATCAGCTTCCTTTGCCTCAATTTCCTTCAGATCAGCATTGACCCTAGCTCTGATTGTAGCAAGATTCCTGGGATTCTGATATTCTGACCAGGCAGGTTCAAGCTGGCAATCTAGATAGTTTCTGATGGCTTCAGATAGGTCCTTGCCAGGGATCACTTTCAATCGCCACCAGTCTTCTGCTTCTTGCATAGACCCACCATGGTTAATTATTATTAGTCCATCTTTATCCAGAATGAGATTCTCTTGTTGAGTAGGGGTCATATGCTTCTTCATCTCTCTGAATTGAGCAGCATCAGGAGTAGCTAAGTCACTGTTAAGCCATTGGGCCAAAGTGAAAGTGGAGGCTGTCTTCTTTCCTTTCTTGGACCGAGGAGGAGGAGGTCTTTGAATACCAGCAGCTAGCCTCTTTTGCCTTGCTCTTTCAAAGTACCTAGCAGGGTTAATGGCTCTGGAGCTTGGACCTTCTGCTTCTCTGGGAAGTGGGACAGGTTCTCTGCTATCTTCCCCCTTTTTGGCATCAACAAGATCACCAAGTAGGAGTCCAATTTTCGAGAATTCTGTAGCATTGTTCTCTTTTATAGCTTCAAGGGTACCTGGCAGAGTCTGAGTTACAGAAGCCAGCCCTTCTATCAGCTCCTTTTGCTTGCCCACAGCCGACTGAATATCCTTGGTAGTAGCTTCAAGGAGGGTCAACTTGTGATCCCTGTCCTTTCCACTGTTTATCAATTTGATGTCAAATTCCTTCAAGGTTTTGCAGATGTCCTCTACATCTGTGAGCTGCTCAGCATGCTTATCAGAGGACCATTGAAGATCATCCACAGCATCAGATAGGTCTTGAATAGCCTTGTCTTGAGCAGAGAGAGTCTGAGATTGTGAGAACAGGACTGTGTGCAGACTGGCAACCTCGGAAGCAATGTCATCAACCTTCTCATTGGATGTCTTCATGTAGCTGAAGAAGGTAGTCGACAGTTGTGAGAGGGCGTTGGCGATTTTTTCAAGTCCTGACTCAATGTTGTACTGTACCAAATCCAGATGAGCATCATGCTTCTGATTTAGTACAAGTAGCTTGTTCAGTCCAGCCACCATCTGATCTCCAAAGTCCTCTGCTGATTCCACAAATTCCTGGAAGGGAATGAGGACAGCTTTGGGTGGTTCTGGCTGAGGTACTTGGTTGACCTGCGGTTGAGGCTGAGCAGGAGATAGAGGAGGAGTAGGAGTCTTTCTCTTTGCAGATTGAAGATCACCAGCCATTGAAGCTGTGAGAAACCCATCATTATCTTCAGTTGAGGAAAGAATCCTTACAACTGGCTCTCTCTTTTGTGCTGAGGCAGCAGAATGCTGAGGGGAGGGACAGTTAGATGTAGGCTTCTGCTGAGGAGAGGGAGATTTGGATTTCTGATGGTTGGGGCTCTGATGGGGTGAAGTCTGAGGGATAGGGGTTCTCTGATGATGTGATGGAGGAGGAGGTGAGGGTGATCGGCTTCTGATGGGGGTTATCTGATGGCAGGGTGAGGGTTGTTTTGGTGTGGAGGATTTCTTGGGTGTTGGAGATGGGATTTGCTGAGGTTGAGGAGGAGAGGGGGGTGGAGTTGTGGTTGGTGTGACTGGTTTAGGTGAGGGGGATTTGGGAGGTGATGGGGTTGGGTCAGGAGAGTTAGGAATTACCTCAAGAACAGTTTCTTCAAACTGAGAGTCTCTCCATTCTCTGATAAGGTTCATCATTGCCAGAGATAGGTCATTGGCAGTTGATGGCTCTCCCTCTGTACCTGGAATCGGTTTCATCTTGATTAGAGACTCCCTCCTTTTCTTTTCCATCAGCCAGGCATCAAAGGCATCCCTCTCATGATCTTCTAGAGCCTTGACAGGTCTCTCTGGTGAGGTTGTAGGTACCTTCTCCTTTCCTTTGTAGATTGCCTTCTTCTTTTCAAGGATAGAGTGCAGATATTGGAGGTCAAAGCACAAGGAGATATCATCAGTGTCTGCCCATTTGAGGACTTCAGCTTCCTCAGATTCAAAAGTGGCAGCCTGAGCAAGAATCTGTTGCAGTGGTCCCATTCTCCACTTTCTCCATGTTAGCACCCTTTGAAATTGTCTCTCGAGAGCAGAGATGGGATCTACTTCAGGAATCCCAGTTGAGGAAGTTGGGTGCTCTTGTGGAGAGATGGTGACTTGCAGTGCTGATTCAGAGATGGGCTGGATCTCTGATTCAGGTTCCCCCTGAGCATCAGAGATCACCAGTGCAGTAGCCAGCTCTGGTGCTGGTTCCCCCTGAGGTTCTGATTCCTTGGGGGGAGAGTTGGTCTGCTTGTTCTTCTTCTTCTGGACTTTGATATGAGATTGGGAGCTATCAGAGTCACTCTGAATCACAGCTTTTCTTCTCCTCTTCTGTCTCAACACTTTGACAGGGGCCATAGCGGGTGCATCCTCCTCTGATGCTTCCACCTCTGATGCAACCTCCTCAGTGGTGGTTTCAAGCTTCTTCTGAGGTTTCTTCTTCTTGCCCTTGGGTTGTTCATCATCAACCTCAATTGCGGTAGCTGGTTTCTCCCTCAGTTGTTCTTGTTTCTTGGCTTTCTTTAATTCTGCAGCAATGGCTACATTGAATTTGGGAGAGGCTGTGAGGAAGATGGTCTTTGTGTGATTGACATCAGCAGCTTCTCGGAGCGATATGTTGATATTGGAAATCAGTCTTGAAATGAGAAGTCCATGACCCATCTTGGTTGAGAATTGGCCAGTCTTTTTGTCTTTCTTAGCCACAGACTCAGAGAGGGACTGGAATAGTACCCTTCCCCAGTTGATGTTCATGCCCCGATGAACAGCATAGATGGCCTTAGCATTTGTGTTGTTCATCTGATCAGTTGAGCCGGTTTTGCACCACAGGCACCGGTGCATTATGCTCATCAGACGTTCATAGTCCTTCTTCAGCTGGTTTTTCTTCATGTAGAGCTTATCTACTCCGGTTGCATCCTCCCGGCAGTAGGTTTCAGCAAAAGTTTGGACAGAGATATTCACATCGTCAAGCTCAATGAGGCTGGTAGTATCCTCTTCTTGAGGATCGAGTTTGATGTCGAAGAACTCATTGAGAGCATCAGCATCTATTTTCAGGTCCTTGCCCTGAACCTGCGAGTGGATGGCCTCAGTGGTAATGATGGCATTTAAGTAGAACTCAGCAACGTCCTTCGTGCTGTATTGTTCATAAGGATGAGCAACAATCTTGCTCAGCTGGGAATCATGCATTCCTTGGATGATTTTCTTCATACGCTTCTGATTTTCTGCCAATAGAGGCAGTGAGGACATGTCAACGCGCATGCCAGTGACGATGTTGTTCACAAGAGTCTTGATTTCCTCCTTGGAGAGTTCGTTGATGTTGATGAACTTCATTTTTGTTTAGTGAAGAGTTTGAGAGGTCTGAGATTTGAGAGTTTTAGAGAGATAAAGCTTGAAGACGAGGAATACAATTGCAGTAGCGATTTAGGTTTTCAGACGGGGTAAATATGAATTTGGGTTAGTGGACGTTTGATATAATTTACGGTTTCGAGGTTGCATTTAATGGAATGCGGGCGGAAAGCCGTTTTCCAAAAGTGGTAATAACTACCGGGGGTAAAATAGTAACTTCCGGTTTATTGAATAGTCTCGTCTGAAATTTAGAAAATTTTTCTAAGTCCACAGCCACTCTGATAGGTATTAGCCCTTGTATCAGAGATAGAGATGTTCTGATATGAGGACCTCTGATGAATACCAAGTCTGATCCTTCCTGCAACTCTGACTTTTGCAAGTCTGAACCTTGCAATTCTGATTCAAGCTTCTGATGGATAAGGGCTTAGGTATCAGAAATGGGATGTTCTGATGAATCCACATCTGATACTTCTGCAACTCTGATTCATGTTTCTCTGGGAAGATCATCCATCATTCCCAATTCTTCTCTCAACTTGTTAAACCTTGCCTCAGAGAGAGGTTTGGTCAAGATATCTGCAAGCTGGTCTTCAGTTGGGACATGCTCAATTGAGATGTGCTTCTTCTCCACATGATCTCTGATGAAGTGATGTCTGATCTCAATATGCTTGGTTCTTGAATGCAGCACAGGATTCTGAGTGATGGCAATGGCACTTGTGTTATCACATAACAGCTTGATCTCCTTTGCTTGCACTCCATAATCCTTGAGTTGTTGCTTCATCCAGAGCAATTGAGCACAGCAGCTTCCAGCCGCAATATATTCAGCTTCAGCAGTGCTAGTTGAGATTGAATTCTGCTTCTTGCTAAACCAGGAGACAAGTCTCCCACCTAACAATTGACAGTGACCAGAAGTACTCTTCCTGTCCAATCTACAACCTGCAAAATCTGAATCAGAATAACCAATTAGTTCAAAATTACCTCCCTTGGGATACCATAGTCCTGCATTTGGATTTCCTTTGATATATCTGATAATTTTCTTAGCAGCAACTAGATGGCTCTCCTTGGGCTTTGATTGGTATCTGGTACAGATTCCTACTGCAAAAGCTATGTCTGGTCTGCTTGCAGTCAGATAGAGGAGAGATCCAATGATTCCTCTATAAGTTGTTGCATCAACATCTTTGCCTTCATCATCTGGTCCAATGCCTTGAGATGCATTCATAGGAATTTTGACTGAAGATTTTCCATCAATCCCAAACTTCTTGATGAGATCTCTGGTGTACTTCCCTTGGTTGATAAAGATGCCTTCAGGAACTTGTTTGACTTGCAATCCAAGGAAATAACTGAGTTCTCCCATCATGCTCATTTCAAACTTCTTCTGCATAACTTGAGAGAATTTCTTGCATAATTCTGGATTAGTGCTTCCAAATATAATGTCATCAACATAAATTTGCACTAACAGAATATGATTAGCAACAGAAATTTTAAACAGGGTCTTGTCAACCTTTCCTTTAGTGAACCCATGGTTTACTAGGAATAGGGACAATGTGTCATACCAGGCTCTGGGAGCTTGCTTAAGACCATAGAGGGCCTTTCTGAGCTTGTAGACACAAGAGGATTGAGTAGGAATGACAAAACCTGGAGGTTGTTCAACATAAACTTCCTCTTCAAGTTCTCCATTCAGAAATGCACTCTTGACATCCATTTGGTATACTTTGATGTCGTTGTAAGCAGCATAGGCTAGGAATATCCTGATTGCTTCCAGTCTTGCAACAGGTGCAAAGGTTTCATCAAAATCTATGCCTTCTTCTTGACAGTATCCCTTTGCTACAAGCCTTGCTTTATTCCTTACAATGTTGCCTTCTTCATCTGCTTTGTTTTTGAATACCCACTTGGTTCCAATGACATTCTGATGCTTTGGTCTGGGAACAAGTTTCCATACTTCATTCCTTTCAAACTGTGTCAGCTCTTCTTGCATTGCATTGATCCAATCTGAATCTTCTAGAGCTTCTTCTACACACATTGGTTCCATCTGGGATATGCAGCAGGTGAACATGGCTTCTCTTCTTGATGCAGATCTGGTTCTAACACCACTGGTGACTTGACCTATCACTTGATTAGGAGGATGATCTCTCAACCAAGTTAGATCAGGTTCTGACAGTTGCTGTCTAGGCAACTCTGATGGTTCATCTTCTGATACATCATCTTCATCTTCATCTTTGTCTATCAGAATTGGATTGGCAGGAGGAGTTGAGAATACAGGATTGTTGATGGCCTCTTCTGATAGTTCTGAACCCTTATCTTCAAGATTGATTTTCTGCAAGGTCTCTGATAGTTCTTCTGCAGAGGTGCTGTCATCAAACTTGACATGAATGGATTCTTCAACTTGTAGAGATCTTCTGTTGAGTATTCTATAGGCTTTGCTTGAACTTGAGTAGCCTAGGAACACACCTTCATCAGCCTTTTCTTGAAATACCTTCAGATTATCCTTTCCATTGTTTAGAATGTAGCACTTGCATCCAAACACATGGAAGTAGCTGATGTTTGGTTTTCTTCCTTTCCACAGCTCGTAGGGGGTCTTCTGATGATTCTTGTGGATCATGCTTCTATTCTGAGTGTAGCATGCAGTGTTGATAGCTTCAGCCCAGTATCTGATGGGCAATCCTGATTCTGCAATCATAGTTCTTGCAGCTTCCTTCAGAGTTCTGTTCCTTCTTTCTGCAACACCATTTTGTTGGGGTGTTCTGGCAGCAGAAAGTTGATGGAATGTACCATTCTGATCACAGAAGTCTTTGATCACTTTGTTGACAAATTCAGTTCCTCTGTCAGATCTGATTGTTCTGACCTTCATATTTTTCTCAGTTTGGAGTTGCTTTAGCAGAGATGGCAACTTCTGAAAAGTTTCATTCTTCTTGGTTAGGAACACAGTCCAAGTGTATCTTGAGTAGTCATCAACCATAACAAGAGTATATCTTTTTCCACCAACACTGGGAGTTTCAACTGGTCCAAATAAATCCATGTGAATCAGATTTAAAGGACAAGTAGAAAGATCTCCAGCTATGGGTTTGAATGAGGTCTTCACTTGTTTGCCTTTCTGACAAGCACTGCAGAGGGTCTCCTTCTTGTAGACAATGTCAGGCAGACCGTCTACAATGTGTTTCCTTGCCAGTTTGTTGATGGTTTTGAAATTCAGGTGGCTAAGCTTCTTGTGCCAGTCCCAGCTTAGCTTTGAATTGTCATTTGCTATCAGACAGGTTCCATCTTTTGCTGTTTGCCAGTCAACAACATAGATGTTCTTCCTTCTTTTGGCAGTAAGAACCACTTCTTTGGTTGTCTCATGCTTGACATAGCATAGGGTCTTGGTGAATTCAACTGTGTAGCCTTTGTCACAGAACTGGCTAGCACTTAGGAGGTTGAATTTCAGACCTTTGACATATGAGACATCTTCAATGATTATCTGGTTCTTGATCAGCTTTCCTCTTCCTTTTGTTTGCCCTTCCTTGTCATTTCCACCGAAAGTGACTCTGGGTCCATTGATTTTCTGGAACTCTGATAGGCAACTCTTGTCACCTGTCATGTGCCTGGAGCATCCACTGTCAATATACCATTCTTTTTCTGAGATAGCTCCAGCACACTGTTCCTGCAAGTTTAAAAGGAAGATTTAGGTACCCAAGCAATGTTGGGTCCTGGGGGGTAATGCAGTCTTGGTAGTTGGTACCATTTTGGTCTCATCAACTGAAACCTTGGTGGATGATACCCATTGTCCACCTGGTAGTTGTAGTAAACAGATGTATGATTCACTTTGGGCAGATGCTTGTGAGGATCATGCTTTCTGTTTGCATACTTCTGCATAGCCTTCTTTGTTGGAAAGAAGTCCCATATACTATCAAGATCAGAGGAGCGCTTAACTTTAGACTTCTGAGGTTGACCAGACAACCTCTTCTGCCTATAGTTAATCTTCTCTTGATATCTGCCTTTCTGATAGCAGTTTCTGATACCATTGTCATGAGATTGTCTGATAGGGTTAGGCCTTTGATTATTATTGTTCTGAAAACTTTTCCTTTTGTTAGAGTGTCTGCCAGGTTCATTAGTTTTCAAACTTTGTTTTGGTTTGGCCTTTAGAGTTTGTTTCTCTGGTATGACCTTCTCATGAACAACTTTAGTACCAGAAGTACTAGCATGGCAATTGGGGCTCAGAGTCTGTGGCACTATGACCTTTTTAGCCTTAGCAACTCGGGTGCTAGGCCTTACAGAAGGCTCACCAGACTCTGGTTCGACATATCCAAGACCAGAGGTGAAGTTATGAGAGTCACCAATATTCTTCATGGAAGATTGCATCTTCAGAAGGCTATTATATCTACTCTCAAGTTCCTCAATGTCTCTTATTCTTTTCAGAAGAGACTCATTTTCAGCTTTCAGTCTATCTCTTTCCTCAGTTAAGAGATTAAGTTTACACTCAGTCTCTTTCCTTAGATCAGAGATATCAACTTTCAGCCTACTGTTCTCTTCTTTAACAAAAGAATAAGTGGCTTGGATAGTTTGGAACTCTTCCCAGAATGATGACATTGGATCATCATTTAAGGCTGTGCCTACCGAAGAGGAAATAGAATTAGAAGTAGAGCATACCTCATCATCTGATTGTGCCATGAGGCAAAGATCTTCAGTTTCTGCATCCAGGCAGCAGAATGCTTCATCAGAGTCGGAGTCTGAGCTAGACTCTGATTCAGAGAGTGGATCTCTCTCAGCTTGTTCTGAGACAAATGCTCTTCTTCTTCTGTGTTGATCATCTGGTTTCTTTTCATCTTCATGTCCTTGCTTCTTGGACACTCTTGGATAGGGGCAGTTTGCTTTGAAGTGCCCAGGCTGTCTGCAGTTGTAACAGAGGTACTCTCCATTGCTTTCAGAGGACTTGGTCTTCTGATGTGGTCTTCTGATGGAAGATGGACTCCTTCCATCTTTCTTCATAAACTTCTTAAACTTTCTGGCAAAAGCAGCCATATACTCATCAGATAACAGAGTAGAAGGGTCAAAGTCACTTACCTTTGAGGTGCTAGCAGTGAGAGCAGTGGTGGTCCTCTCATCAGGAACTTCTTCCTTCTCTTCATGCATCTCAAACTCATAAGCCTTGAGATCAGAGATGAGTCTTTCAGTGGCATAAGTCTTGATGTTCTTGCTTTCCTGGACTGCAATCACCTTCATCTTCCAAGCTGAAGGCAGTCCCCTGAGGATCTTCATGTTGACCTCTTTGATGGTGAGCTCCTTCCCAAGCTCAGAAATCTCACTGATGAGAATCAGCAATCTCTCATGCATCTTAGCAATGCATTCTTCTGGTAGGAGTTTGAAGTCATCAAACTTCTTCATTGCAATGGTCAGCTTGTTGTCTCTTTCTTGTTCATCTCCTGCTCCAATCTCATCCAGCTTATCCCAGATTTCTTTGGCAGTTCTGCACTTCTTTATTCTATTGAAATATCTTTCATCAATAGCTTTGTAGAGAATGTCCTTGGCAATGTTGTCAAGGTTATACTGTCTTTTCTCTTCCTTGGTCCATTCTGACCGGGCTTTCTCAATCATCTGGGGCTGAGAGTTATCAATGGAGTGAGCAGGATTGATCTTCATGAACTGGATAAAGGGTCCATTCTCCAAGACTTCCCACATTTCATCATGTAGGGCACATAGATGTGCCTTCATTCTGATCTTCCAATCATCATATTTCTGATCTGTGAACATAAGATGCTTTGCAAGAGTATTATCCATTATAATAAATAAAGAGAGGCTAAGAACAAGTGGATCTTTGTTCAGAGAGTAACCTAAAAGATTACAAGAACAAGGAGGCTCTGATACCACTTGTTGGTCCCGTTAAATATGGTAACCAGTCTAGAGGGGGGGGGGTGAATAGACTGGTCGGTTTTTCAAATTTTCTCTAAGTCCGAAGTGACTTATCAGAGAAGGTCTGATTCTGATGACAGAGAAAGGCTGGTTCTGATATCAGAACTGGCCTTGGCAGCGGATTCTGATCTGTCCGGGTAGCCTCAGAAACACTAAGGCAAATGCCTTTCTGATAACTCTTAAAACAAGATCTGCTGAACACAGATTCCAAGTCTTAGAGTTAATCAGTTAATATCCTAAGTGCAGAAATGAAAATTGCAGTAAAGTAAATGACACCGGATATTTTATAGTGGTTCAAGGAACAACTCGTTCCTCTAGTCCACTGTTCCACTAGCTTTGAAGTAGATCGGTTACAAAGCTTAGTTCCTAGCACTTAAGAAGTTCTCCACGCCTTCTTCAAGTCTAGCTGCCACCCAGGATGCAATTCCACGTCCTGATGGCTGGTCCTTTCACTCAGCTTCCCGGAAGTATCACCACTTCACTACTGCAGTTACTTGGACGCCCTTCTTTTCAGAAGATCCTTTGAAAAACAGAGTTTTTCCTCCAACTTGCTTCGTTACAAAGGATGTTTGATGAAGTTTTTGAAGTGTTGAAGAACAGGATGAACTTTGCTTGTTTGTTGGGGATGAGAGATTTGGAGTTTGAATCTTCCCAACGTAAGCTTGTCTTGTTGAAGGTTGTTAGAATTTGAATCTCAAGAGAGCTTGAATGATGATGAGCAAAAGTTGTAGCAAAGTTGTTTTTCTGTTCTTCGGTGTGTAGCTTATATACTGAGGTTGTCTGCCCGTTGGAGGAGGAGACAACTGCATTAAATGTGCGTACAGTTGACTTGACCGCCGTTTTGGAAGGTTTCTATTTTTATAATATATCTTCCCGGATTCCTTGGTCAATCATTTGCAATCAATCCTTCAGCGTATCAGGCTCATTTAATGTGCATTAAATGCTTTCCTTTCATGCACAGTCTTCTAGCCGTTGGATGTTTTTACCCGTTGAATTCATAGCTGTTGGATGTTGCTTGAAATCGTCTGAGTGTTCGTCGAGCTCTGATCAGGTTCTTCTGATATGTTGGATTCTGATGGCTGTCTGATGAGTTGAGTTCTGATGGTCTTCTGATCTCTGACTGAACTCTGACTCTGATAGGTCCGCTGATGAGTGCTTCTGATCTGTAGTTCTCATAGGCTATCAGATGTCCAGGCTTATCAGCAACTCTCATGATGCAACTCTGATGGACTTCTGGTAAGAGAACTCTGATGGAGCAGTTCTCATAGAGGAAGTCTGGTCGAGCAGTTCTGATGCACTTCTGATCTGATCCAAAATAGAGCAACTCTGATCGTCGACTACACTAATACTTACAATTAAAAAATCTAATACATAAAATCTAACTTGGGGGTACTCTAACTTTCTAATCCTATAGCATCATCAAAATCTAATTACATTTATTCCTTACAGTTACATAGTCACCGAACCGCTTTGGCATGACCTTGGTTCTTTCCACCCTCCCTTACGCATCTGCTAGCCAGAATCAATTCCCTCTTCTTGAGAATTTGGAACCACTTTAAGTGAATTGAGTTCATTATTGAATGTATCTGGGGTATCATGACCGGGATCTCTCATGTCTTCCCTTTGTTCTGGCAGATCAACATCAACTATCCTTTCATCTTCCCAGGTGTTGACGGGTTTAGCCAAGTCTGTCGTCTTGAAAGGAAATATGCTCTCCACAAATGTTACATCTCGAGTGGTGAGAATATTCTCTTCTATCAAATCATAAACTCGATAACCTTTTTGTCCGTGTGGATAACCAAGGAACACACACGGCTTTCCTCTTTCTTCAAACTTATCTCCCCATGTCTTAGTATTTTGTATGTACACAAGACAACTGAAAACACGCATGTGATCATAAATTCTGGAATGTACAACACATTATGAATTTTTAGACCATTAGGCAGAGTAGAGCTACCAGTCCCTTTTACTTGAATGAGATCACCATTTGGAATAGCCATTGGGGCTCCCCTGTCATACCTCCTTTCATTATTCAACATAGATTTGTCGCAAATTATGTGCTTTGTAGCCCCAGTATCAATAATCCAGGTTTTGTTTAAATTGATCTTACCAGTCATGTTTACAGAGGGAGGAGCAACCTCAATGATTGGGTCATCTATCTTGGAGTAGTGCTCAATAAGCCTCCCGTATTGTTCTGGTGTTAATATAGGGATGGGGCTCGACTCTAGGTTGATTTGAGCAACCTTTGGATTGCGTCTGGTCTCAGCCCGATCTCCTTTATTTCCTCCTTTCGCTGGCCACCATTCCGGGTAACCAATTCGTTTGAAACAACCATCATAAGAGTGTCCTGACAGTGAGTGCAGTGCTCTCCTCCTTCCAGTCCTCCACGCTTATAGCCCTTTGAGGCAGGTAATGGATCCTTATTCGCACTTCGCCTTTGAGAATAGGTTTGGAATGCCGCAGCTTCTGTAGCGGTTCTTCGCCCTGCTGATTGCCTGATTTGGTTCTTTGTTGTTCATCCTCAGAAACCATACAGTACGACAATCCTAGACTTGGTGTTGGTCTTGTACCCAAAATCTGAGATCTTATGGTCCCAAAATTTTCTTCAAGGCCCATTAAAAATTCGTATAATTGCTCCTTTTCCATTGCCTCGGTCATCTTCTTCCCAACTTCACACGTACACTGCCACAATTGCACTTCGGAATGGGTGAGATGGACTGAACTTCATCCTACAGACCCCGAAGCTTTGTAAAATAGGCAAAAATTGAATCTCCCTCTTGTTTTGTTTGGGTGATGGCTCGCTATAGGTCATATGCTCGCGACGCACTTCCCTGGCCAAACCTCTCCTCCAGGTCCTTCCATATTTGTTCTGTTGTGTCTGCGTATTTAACGCTAGTCCTGATTTCCTTCTCCATCGCTGTGGTAAGCCATCCTTTTATCATGGCATCACATCGTTTCCAAAGCATCCGATCTTCCGATTTTTCGTCTGGCATGATCTCAGAACCATCAACGAAACTGAATTTGTTCTTAGCAAATAGGAAATTCTTACCACTCTGTGTAATTGTTGTCATTTAATGCATCATTCACATGCATCTGGCGGGGATAATCCGATGGATGAAGATAATAGATGGAGTTTGGATCTAGTTGTGTTACAAAGGAGCCTCCCCCTGTACCGGTCATGGTCGTTTGTTTGAACAGCTAATATTTCTTGATTTTTACTTTAGCATGCTCTGGTACCATGTAGAAAACTGAGGTGTTCTATTCTACGTAGTATATTATTCATCTACGTAATATGTCAATATTTATACAATGGTTATACTAAAGTAATAAATACTCTTGTATAATCACCGTAAAGAACTAGATTTACATAAATAAAATATTCTTGCAGATTTACAAAGATATACTTTCCTTTAGAGGAAGAGGAACGAAAGCCGTAGCACACCAAGAGCATCTCCAATGCTATAACTTGCACGGTGCACACGTGGCATGAGAGATGACCACATAAATATTAGTACATAAATTCTTTCTCTCCTTATTTAAATGATTTTATATAGTTTTGGTAAGTTTTTCTCCACAATATCAAGGAGACCGTCTAAATGTTGACATTGCAGGGAAAAACTTACCAAAATTGTATAAAATCATTTAAATAAGGAGAGAGATAATTTATTTGCTAATATTTATGTGGTTATGACTCATGCCACATGTGCACCGTGCACGGAGATGCTCTAATACGCTTCATATTAACATCGGTATATCATGTGAATGATACAACGGTCACACGGTATAATCTAAATGCCCCGTTTGTGCACCGTTTTAGTTTTTTGCATTTGTTCCATTGTAATCCAAGTTAAAAGGCCTAGTATTATTTTTCAAGCTCAAAATCTGATTTGGAAAATAATACTCCCTCCGTTCCCAAAAATACTTCCCACTTTCCTTTTTGGGCCGTTCCCAAAAATTCTTCCCACTTTCCCTTTTTGGACAATTTGTGTGGCTCACATTCATTTTACCTTTTTCTCACACAACCACAACCACACATTTCCACTTTATTCCACTTTCTTAATAAGCGTGCCAATTCAAACCGGGAAGAATTTTTAGGAACGGAGGGAGTACCTAATAGAATGTCCTATCTTCTAGTCTAAATTCCTCTCGCTCTATAAATCACATTCGTTTATAGGTACATGAACTAACTTAAAGTGTTCAATTAGCTCCTTATATAGGAGGTTCTGTCCGGCCGTAGCCAATTGGGGCAGTTCCTGGTGGAATTTTTTGATTAAATTTTTTGAGCATCTTCTTCATTAAATCTAGTTTACCCATACCAAATTTCAGCTAAAAATTCAATCGGGAAGGCAGTCAAATGATTTTTTAAAGATAACTGCGCAGTTAAACAGCGCAATACATTTAGGAAATTCATTTGACTACCTTACCGGTTGAATTTTTAGTTAAAATTTGGTATGGGTAAACTAAACTTAATGAAGAAGATGCTCAAAAAATTTCATCAAAAAATTCAACCGGGAACCTTCCCAATTGGCGATGGCCGGGCTGAACCTCCTATATAAGGGGCTAATTGAACACTTTATGTTAGTTCATGTACCTATTTGACCCTTTAGCCTAAAACCTTATTCCATTATTTGCTTTCTTTTGATTTTAAATTATTCTTGGTCAAATTAGTGGCTTAGTGCTTACTTTTGCTCGATTTTGACTTTTTAAAACATATAAGTATATTAGTACATACTATCGTAACTCATTAACTTTCAATTTTCCTCTGCTCTAAAAATGTTTGCTTAGCTTTGGGAGGCATCCCATGTCGAAATGTCAGTAATTTTTACATAGAGAAAGACTTGTTGTGAACGGCCCCGTTCGGTAACACCATTAGCGAGTGACACAATTCAATTATGAAATAAAGAACAAATTATAAAAAGATAATCAAAATAGTCATCTTCAATCAATTAATTCAACTAATTAGAGTGATTTTAATTTTATTTATTTTATTGTCACAATTTATTGCACGAAAAAAAAATTACTTATTAAATAAAAACAACCATTGAAATTGATAAGCCGAGGTTACAAAATGGGATGGAGATAAAACTTGGGCAAAAAAATGTCAAACCTGGTGTCCCAAACTGAAAAATTCTGATACCATTTCAAAACTGTCCCGATCCATTTAGGATTCATTCTGAAACGGTCTTGTACCGATATCAACCGGGACGAGACCGAGAGAGCTATAAAATATAATCTCTCGTCTATGTATCCCTTTGAAATTTGTAAGTTATTTTAAATTTCTAATGCTATGTAATAGTCAAACCCAATTAAAACTTTCTAGCCCTTATCCTCCTTGATGTAATTTATTTATATTTATTTCACGTCTCTCTTATTAGTCTTTTATCTTGTTTTTTTAATTAAAATTGGTTTAGTTCTCATTGCAAAAGAATTTGGAAATGTTAGCCTGTAGACATGTATTTTGCTTTTGTTCTTCATATGGTTGAAATGCTACTTGAAGCGCTATGGTTACACCTTTATTTTGATGCGCTATGGTTACACCTTTATTTTGATGTTACGATTGTTTTTTGGAAGTCCCGAACAGTCTTGGGTTTTCTTGGATTGTCCCTGTCCCATTTTAAATGGGATAACATTAGAATGAGAGGATGAGGACTTATTCCGAATCGTACCATACCGTTAATATGAAACTGGATCGGGATAAGTCAAATTCTGAAATGTCTCGGTCTGTGCCCACCCCTACTTGAAACCGGGGCAACTCAAACCCTAAATCTATAAAGAATGATATTCATCCAATATTATTCCAATCATCCTCGAAGACTTCCAAAATTGACCAGCTAGTTATTTGAAAGAATGTGTGATCATACACTAATGAAAAGAGAACCAAGTTCCATTTTTCATAAATTTTTACTTGATATTGAATCCGGATTTATGATCTTGTGAGTTGTGACACCCTTTCTAGTAGGGAAGGGAAGGGAGCGTGCCCCCATATGAATTCTGAATCTATGATCTATCAATGAAAAAACGGACGTATTTGTATGCGAAGTTTGTATAATATTCTGTAGCTGTCTGTGTACATAAGCAACATGTGTTCAAGTTTAGTGGCTGATCAATGTTTTCTAATATGCCACATACGTGTTTAACTCTCTGCCACGTACGTGTTTAATTATGTGGCACGTGTAGTGTTTTGCCGTCACTATCCGCCACGACACAAATGCAAGGGTAGGTCAAGATTATACCAATGCACATGTATCTGGCACAAGTCATCGCCGACCGTACCATCGAAATTATGGACCGTTTTATTCTCGCTAAAAAAATTTGAAGATTTTGACCATGGAAAAGTGGGAAAGTAAGACAAAAAATGAATATTCATATTTTGTGATAAATAAGTAATACGGATTAATAAACTTCTAAAAAATAAATAAAACATACGTAGTACTAATGTATTTTTATCATGGATTTATTTTTCATCTTTGCAATTTTAAATTATTTTTATATTAAAATTTAACTTACCCATTTTAACTTAGCTTATTTTTATTTTATTTTTATCTTTCTTCTCTTTTTGATCGACACTTTTTGATATCATGGATCAAAGACATCACTCAGCGGACTCCAAAATTTTACTCCGTATGACATTTAGGATTAGATGATGTTGTAATTCTATAAGGGTAATAATTTACATATGCAACTATGCAAGCATTTTTTGTTTAAATAAATACGAAGAAAATACGGACTAGCTAATAAATACTCACAAACCATGTAATGAAGTACTTTTAATTTCCAAAATAACTAATTCAATACATGTCTTAATCACAAATCCGATCAGAAATATGTAGTAATTAACATGTCTATCTGCTTATTTCTTATGGTGAATTACATGCTCCATCAACCTGCGCGCAGTTAAATTCATACTAGTACTAGCAGTGGAGGACCTAGGGGGTCCTAGGGAGCAGTGCCCCCGCTTCCGACTTCGAAATTTAGTATTACTATTTATGATAAAAACTTGTGCCCCTCCTATCCGAACAAAAAAAACTACTGATATGATTAGGTATGGAGATATATAGTTTTGTCGAACAACAAATAACAATTGTAGTGGGAAATTATCACGGAGTTGTGATGGACCTCCTTGAAGTTATACATGTTAACACCATCACTGCACTTTTTTGCCAAATATGAAAGTATGAATAATGTTTGTTCAGAACTAAATCTTATAAAAATCATACATGAAAAAGTGTATGGTGTTGGACTGACAAACTCTTAGATTTTTCTTACTACAATATGAAAAAAGTTCGATATAAAAAATTATATTATTAAATAAAGTTGTATCTAAGGATGAAATAACAATCTTGAACATGCTTCGTTTTTTGACACATCTATTATTAAATCTTATACAAGTATTAACGAATTTTGTGGCACAACATGTAGCGTTGAACATTGATCGTAGTACAAAACTGTAATCCCGATCATGTTATAGTACGAAAAATAAAGAAAATTTTATCCAAAACTAGAAAAGTTGCAAATTAAAGATCGATGAGCTAGTCATTTTAATCCCCATTATGCCGTTTTTTTTAGAAAATCAAAGATGATTGTTTAGAATTGTTCAGTTGATGTTTTCAAAAAAAAAAAGAATTGTTCAGTTGATTTAGAACTAGACCTATAATTCATCATAAATAAATGTCGGTTGAAATTGTCATCGAATGGTCTGATTTCCAATAAATAAATATTTTGAACGAACTAGATAGAGTTGTCCACTCATACACCCGATCCGACTCAACCCATACATGCGCAGTGGCAGTGCCCCGCTTGACAAAACTTCTGGGTCCGCCACTGCTGTACTAGTATTGATTTTTGAAGTCAAAGATTGTTAAAATTTACCATTTAACTGTTCACAATTGCATTAGTGTGTAACACTAATAATTTTGATTGACTTTATTTAAAGAGAATATTACCCGAAATAGGACTAAAAAGGTTTGAAAATTCTAAAATAGGATTACCATGTTTTTATTCCCAAAATATGACTAATTACTGCCATGTTTTGGGCTTTGGCAGTACCAGACTTCAAACATGACAATATTTTTTCAAACTTGGCAGTAATTACTCATATTTTGGGAATAAAAACATGACAGTCCTATTTTGGGAACTGTTTTTGTTCTATTTCGGGAACTTTCCCTTATTTGAGTATATACTCCGTATAATTGAAATTAAATATTATCTTATTTTATGAAGATAGTCAACCTTGTTATAAGGCATACACATCCATAGATTATTTTTTAGATCATTTTGATGATGTGGAGGATTTTTTTGGGGATCATGGATGAAGAGTTGAGATCATTTTATGATATTATTTCATAAAATAATCTGGTATCAAATTCTAAAACTGGATTATTTTGAGAATATTTCCAACTTCTAGGCATATACTCATAATTATGGTGATGACTAGCTTTGTAGTTCGTGCATGCTCATGCTCCTATCCAAGGTAAATTAAGATCATGAATGAGGAGAAATTTATTGGTTTGGAGATTATTTAAGATTATCTTATGTGGAGGTGACATAGCAATAATAATCCATCAAAAACTATAAAATCGAATATCATCAATGTGAATGATCCAAGTATATATATTCTTATTTATGAATAGTCAACCGTATGAAGAGTATCTTTCATATTTTAGAGAGAGAAAATAGTGATTCTTTTTGTAGACTTTGACTATATTTTAATCCTATTTAAATAATTTATCCCTATATTTACGGAAGTATGAAATGAAATAGGTAGATACCATTAACAAAGAGCTTGAATTTGTCTGGATTAATAGTTTTGAAATCTTGAATTCGAGTCTTGTGAGAAAGCTCCATTTCCCACGACTTCACTGCATTTTGAACCGTCTCTTCTAATGATCCCTTTGCCCATACCTTTAAAATACATCACACCGCCCATTACAATAAATAAATCACACAACTTTCACCTCTTAAATTGATAAAATTCCTTGAATAGTCAATGCATTTACTTTATATCTATATCTATCATTTCTGTTGCGGACTCCTGATCGGAACCGCGCTACGGAGGCTTCCGTTTGTAATGATTTTAGGCGGAAGTTTTTCACGAAATCTTGTGAGAATGTTCTTCATAAATTATATATTATGTATTTATGTACACAAAATTTTACCTTAAAATTTAATATATAAATTATATACATAAATAGTTAAAATACACTGCTTTGTTCCATTATACGAGTACAAAATTTCATAAACAAATTCCCCTCAAACGAACGGCGACCTCCGCACGGCGGTTCCGGCTCAACCAGGAGCTCCTAATATGAACTTTTTCCTTTATACATATGGATATATTTAATCATGTATGTACGTACTTGGGTTCTGCCATCTTCAAAGAGCTTGTTAACGTCGTCATAGATGGGAGGGCCGCCATGCCTCCAATGGATGTTTTCGGCTTCTTCTGCAAGGATGGATCTGTATTTGTCACTGCCCTTTATTTCAAGCCTACTTATTGATACATCTGCTGCAGCTGGAGAAGCCATTCTTATTTATGACCGGATGTGATCTGATCGATCGTCCTGCCTAATTAAGCAAGCTAACTAATCTTAAATAATCTGCTCTATCATCGTACTTACATTACATGGAGGTGATGGAGCTAATGGCACAATTTCGTATAATATATAGAATTATGCACCTTCCGTCCTAAAAAAAATACTCCGACTTCGAACCGCTTTCGTGTAAAACTGCTTTGAAAAATGGGGTACCGTACCTACCATTCACTTGATTGGTCCACATAGGTATATCAATTTTAATTTAAACTTAAATAATTCAACTGCAACATTCTGATTGGTTCATGTGGACAAAGGTACGGTATCTTTAGGGTACCATAGAATCTACCTTTTCCAATAACACCCTTACTCTTGGCCTTTGATCCGAAAAGGGTAGGGTGTAAAAGAAATTATTGGGAAATTAAATAAAGGGCCTTTGATCCAAAAAGAAGAGGGTGTAAAAAAAATTGCTAGGAAATTAAGTAAAGGTAAAAGTTTGATTTGATATATCTATGAGTCCGTTTGTTAGCACCAAAATTGGTTGTTTTGTCTGATTCTGCTGAAATTTATGAAGTTCTGGATGAAGTGGCTGCATTTGCTGATTCTGTTGATTTAAGGAAAAATTATTGAGACATTCCCCGAAATAGGACTAAAAAAGTTTGAAAAGTTCAAAATAGGACTATCATGTTTTTATTCCCAAAATAAGACCAATTACTGTCATGTTTTGGCAGTACCAGACTTCAAATATGGAATTATTTTCCAAACTTCACAGTAATTACTCCTATTTTGGGAATAAAAGACATGACAGTCCTATTTTGGAATTTTCAAACTGTTTTAGTCCTATTTTGGGAACTTTCCCAAAATTATTTTTAAAATATATATTCTATTAATAAAATAAGGAAAAAATTATATGTAAAAATAGCTATAATGATCATCTACAGTAACTTTAGCCAATGCAGACAGAAAAATAACTCCAACATTACTTTTTCTGCTTATTACATAATTCAGCGCGTGAAAGCAAAAGTTACGTATTTGGTGAAAAAGTTGTCTGATAAGCCTGATAAGCCGAAAAACAGTATTAGTATCAAGTACGGGTGCAATTATCATTTTACAGTAAGAGTTTGATTCATTTAATGCCCACTATGGATGGTGCATTAAATACAATTCTTTGACTTTCACATCAAATTAAACTCTTATCCGATGAATTTTTTAGTATTTGGATGTGACAATAAATGCACTTCACCATAATACAGTAAATCAGTAATAATCAGGCGGTCGAGCTATCCCTTTTTATGCAATTATTATACGTAATATATCAAGCAAATCTTTTTCAGTGAGATTTTGATGTACGAATTTTTTACTTTGGGCTTTAAAATCAAATACAAGGGTAATATTAGTCTGCAATGTAATGTCAATTATTCAGATTTCATGTCATCAAATCAAAGAACATTGAACATAGCATGTTATTAACTATTGGTAATTAGTCATATATACCCGCAACGCTATAAAATTGTAGTATAAACAAATCTTCATTTATCAGTTAAGCACCACTCGCACACAAACAATAACATTGAATACAACAAGATCGGGATTGGGGTCTCTGATTAAAGATGTGGATCACACAATATCTACTTGAACATTGGAAGTGTTGGGCAAGAGAACCGTAGAGATTTCAAAGAATGCCATGGGTGGGAACATACTAGAAGTCATTTTCCATTATGAAGAGGTATATTTTGATCTTAAATATCTTTTCAAAAACATTGCAAATAGAGTTTAATATTTCTTCTTACGTAGTAGTTGTGTACTTGTGTACCTGTAAGGTTAAGTGGTTAACTTTCACTAAAATTGACTGAGAGGCCAGGGCGTGTTCTTGCTACAAGGAGAATCATCAACTACTCATATGTAAAACATGATCTATATTATCAGTTCCTGTAGTACCAATTTTTTATTGTATATAATCTAATAGTTTGACAAATGCAGATGTCATTGGGCATATCTTGGGATTTGTGGAAAGAATGACACTGAAACACTTGGAATCAATTGCAAGAATAAAGGTATAAGAAACTGACTTTGGAGAACCTCGAGTGAGTTTTTATATCATAAGCAATACACGAAGTGAATAGAATTACTAATTGTAACCAACAAACATACTTGAACCAGATACGCCATGTGTGGCGAAGGTATAGGGGTGGCCAACCAAGCCACGGCCCGTCCCAAATTTGAAAATTCTTTGCATTTTTAGTGTAAAAATTTATTTGTACAAAATTATCTGAAAAATTCTTTGTAATGGCCCAACCCAACCTTCAATTATCCTAGCTACGCCTCCTATGTTTGTCCAAGAACTTTCCTATGTTCATGTATTATAAAAAAAATAGGAACATTTAGTTCAAACATTAAAAATTCAGCAAATTATTTAAAAAAAACTGTCTTTAATAGTCTCTAAACGTGAAAACTAAAACTTAAATATTTAGAGGATGAGGATCATACCTAGGATAGGACTATGGAATATTGGAATCCCTATTCTAGCTTTGAAAAGAAGAAAGAGAAATGGAAAAGCGAAAGGGCAGATCATATGTAGCTCCTCAGCTTTTATAGGATAATTTCGGATAAAACTAATTAATTATTACAAATCATAATATTTATGAATAACACGGCACTTTATTAAGGCCCGATATCCGACATATTAACATTTTTTTAAAACATAATAGTAATTAAAAAATATAATCAATCTTGGTGGATTAGACCCGCAATAGAAAAGTTAATTAATAACATGTTAAATATATTTAGGCTTGGAGCACATATAATACAAACATTTTTATATATGACCACTCTTTATTTTTAGAACATAACATATGTTGGAATAGGTATGAACCACTACAGTGTTAAATCACTTTTCAAAAACTTTTTTAACACACACACACATGATGGATATGCGACTAGGGGTTAGACGGAATCCGGGAAAAATAGAGAGATTGAAAAGTGCTAAGCAAGACCGAGTGGAATTTTTTTGCAGAGTAACAACACGTTTGCACTAAAATTTGGATCGGATCCATTTCCACATGTTTAAAGGTGATATGTATACCGAAGAGAAAATACTTGACCAACAAAGTAAAAAGATGTTATTCTATTGTGGTGAGGACACATTTCCAATTCGGTTAACAGGAATAAATGTGTTGATCTAATAGTGTGGCGACACATGTAAAGTTGATTGGAGAGATATCTTGGACAACTAGCTGATTGGTACTGTGTGTAACAGAATTGTCCTTTGTGTACCAGAATGCATGTGCACGCCACATGTGTGCTATCTAGAATATTCTGTGTAGTAACCGCCAAGGTGACGCATCCCTTGGACAGTTGCCGTGATGGTGACGTTGCGGTAGTCCCATGTGGCATTTAATTGCTGAAATGTCTAAGTCCACAATTGATCAGCGAGACCCTGATCTCAGCAAGTGTGGTCGAGCTCAGGCATAGTGCTTTTATTGTGGAGGAAGCGATCCTGGTCTCCTATTTGTCCGGTACTGGTGATTCCTTTTCTCCGTTGACTTTAGTTGACTTTGTGCCCGTGTTTGACGTCAAATCTGGTACCGACCTCGACAAGGGCCAACCTCGGCCTCGGGTTTGATCTTATCTCAATAATTTGGGAGTCAAATGTCGGACCAACCTCGGATGGGTCGAGGTCGGCCTCTGCGGAATGGTGACTTGACGTTTGTGGAGACTCCTTTGATCGTAAATTTTAGTGCTTGTGGTGTATAGGAGTATACTCTATCAATATATATATATATAGGAGTATACTCCATCTATATATATATATATCTAAAAACTTATAAACACCAATGATGGTTAGGGCATTTTAGGAATGATAAAAATGTTGGTGTAACATTATAGCAAAATGCTCTTGTACCATTTGTTTTAGGCATTGCACCATTCACTATAATCTCTTTATCTACTCCTTACTTCCGTTAAAAACCGAACAGAAGAGTTTCTGTTAAATGTCCCACACCGGAAAATTGAGAAACATTAGAGAATGAACTACAACCCTTGGATTATTTTATTTTAATGTTATCGGCTAAGGGTATTTCTGAAATTTTCATTCCTCATTTAAGGCACATTAATTGCTTATCCATGTAAAAAGGTAAATTTATTTCTTCCGTTTAAGTTTCTTAGCTTTTCTACGTGTAGTATGGAATATTTTTATATCCTTTTCTTGCCCATCCTGGCCATCTTAATCTTAAATCATACGGAGTACGTAGTTTCACCGTAGTTTCCGGTTATATGTTGACATTGCAGAGAGAAGCTTACCAAAATCAACTTTGCTAGAGGTACCTCATTTGGTACCTCATTTGTACCCCCTTCCTATCAAAATCGCTATAGGTACCCCACTTTTACCCCATTTTTACCCCATATAAAAATCCTCCCCATTTTTCTTCTCTCCTCCCACCCTCCCCCACTTTTCTTCTCCCCTCCTACCCACTCTCTTTCTTTTCACACAGCCCCTCCATCCCCTCCCCTTTCTTTCTCTTTTCTCCAAATCTTGATTTCTTCCTTATTTCAAGATCTCTTCCATCATTACTACGTCTTGTTTTTCTTTTCATATTTCCCCCCTCCAAGCTTCTTCTCCTGCTTCTCTCCTCTTCCGCCTTTTTTCTGTTTCAAATGCACGAGCTACGGTAATCGGACGAACGGAGAGAGCTCCGGTGATGTTCGATACATGGGGAGACAACAATGAAGGTGCAGACCAAAAAGCTTTGAATGACTTGAGCAAATCTTCTTCTCTTGATTTTTTGGTGTGTTTTCAAAATTAAAAGAGTTGTCTGTCTGACAGACAACTTGTAAGTGCAGTGTCTGTCTGTCTGTAATTGATGGGTAATTGTTTTTCATTTGATTTGAGTTGTCTATATTTATTTTGAGTTGTTTGTATTTGTTTTGAGTTGTCTGTATGTAATTTGTGATGTTTATTTTTTGAGATGTAATTAGTATAACGAGACAGACATTAAATATACACATACAGACAATAAGTATACACATACATACATTACTTTATTGTGAATTACCATTTTGACATATGTTTCATAAAAAAGACAGACAATACGTATAACTACACAGACAATAGAGATAACCAGACAGACATTATTTTTCACCACAAATTACATACAACTCACAATGAAATGACAAACAATTAAACATGAGTTACAGACAACTTCACGACTCTTACAGACACCTCACAACAACATAACAGACAAGTCATTAAAAACAACTCAAAACAAATACAGAAAACTAATAAACAAATGGCAAACAATTAAATATCAATTACAGACATTTATTTTTCAAAGGACAGACAACTTCACGACTCTTACAGATACTGCACTTACAAGTTGTCTGGCAGACAGACAACTCCTTTTATTTCCAAAAGGGAAAACTGTCAAATAGGTCCTCGAACTTTCATAAAAAGATCAATTAAGTCCTTCTATAGGAGGTTCTGTCCGGCCGTCGCGATTTGGGGCAGTTCCCAGTGGAATTTTTTGATGAAATTTTTTGAGCATCTTATTCACCAAGTCTAGTTTACTCATACCAAATTTCAGCTAAAAATTCAATCGGGAACACATTCAAATTAATTTTTGAAGATAACTGCACATTTTTGCGTTCTCGAATTAATTTGAATGTGTTCCCGATTGATTTTTTAGCTTAAATTTGGTATGAGTTAGGGCTGGACTCGGGCCGGGCGGCCCGACCCGGGACCGAACCGGCCCGGTCACTGTTTGGCCCGGCCCGACCCGTGGCCCGATGGGTCCACCGGTTCGGTTTGGCCCGGCCCGGGTGCTGGGCGGTCCGGGCTCGGGCCCAGGTTTTGGTGAACCGGGCCGGATTTTAATTTTTTTTTTTTTAAATTTTTTTTAAGTTTTAGGTTGGATTAGGTATTTTGGGCCATTTGAGGTGGTTTGGGATGGTTTGGGGTTGAGGGGGAGGGGTAGGGTATTAAATAGGAGAACAAAAAAAAATTGGGCCGGTTCAGCCCGGCCCGGCCCGGTTTGGCCCGGAACCGGAACCGGAACCGGCCACCGGCGGTTCGGGCTCGGGCCTCCCCTTTCTTGGCCCGAGGCCCGGCCGGGCCCAGGCCCGAACCGGGCCCGAACCGGCCCGAGTCCAGCCCTAGTATGAGTAAACTAGACTTGGTGAATAAGATGCTCAAAAAATTTCATCAAAAAAATCCACTGGGAACTGCCCCAAATCTTGACGGCCGGACAGAAACTCCTACAGAAGGACTTAATTGACTTTTTTATGAAAGTTCGGGGACCTATTTGACAGTTTTCCCTTTCCAAAATACATCAAAAATTAAGAAAATAAAATCAAGAAAAAAATATTTGTTGCTCAAGTTATTCAAAGCTTCTTGGTATGCCTTCGTTGTTGTCTTCCCTTGAGGTGGCATCTGAAATGGCAACCAGCATATGCCCATCGTTGTCAACCGCTGTCGGCATCATCACCGGTGGAAGAGGAGATAAACAGGAGAAGATCGGAGGCTGAAGGGGGGAAGATGATAAAAATGGGAAGTTTTAAAGAAGGGGGAAGATATTGAAATGGAGAAGAAAGGAGAAGGGATGGGGGGTGCGTGAAAAAGAGGAGAGAGAGGGAGGGAGGAAGAGAGGTGGGGAGCAGGAGAGAGGGAAGATGGAAGAAGAAAAGTGGGAGTGGGTCTTTATATGGGGTACAAATGGGGTAGGGTTTGGGATACCTATAGCAAAATTGCCCTTCCTATATCTATGGTTCATAAAAGCTCAACACATTAAATGAATTGCTCCATTTTAATGGGGTGCCTTTGTGAACCACACATATAGGGAGGGGGTACAAAATGGGGTGGCAATAGCATTTTACTACCAAAATTGTACAAAATCATTCAAATAAGGAGATAAATAATTTATTTGCTAATATTTATGTGGTCATCTCTCATGCCACATGTGCATCGTGCATATTGTAGCATTGAAGATGCTTTTAGATTACGGTGGGGCGGGTCATGGGCTAATAAGTATTGGCTTATAAAACATGCAACTCATAGGCTTCTAGTTTCAATATATTCACATTTCACTTAACACATCAATATTTACAGATACGCGTAACGCCACAGAACAAATATTCTCATGCAAAAGATCTTACTTTTTATAATGGAGAGATTTGACTTTGCACCCCACTTTTTGGGTGATATTGAACTTTGCACCCCATTTTGAAAAAACTTTGATTTTGAACCTCATTCTACTTAAAATTCATTTGACTTTGCACCCCATTTAGAAATTTTCCTTCACAAAATGGTATGTGTTGGGGTGCAAAGTCAAATTTTTTTAAAAATGAGATGTAAAGTCCAATATCACCCAAAAAGTGGGGTGCAAAGTCAAATTCTCCCTCTTATAAAAAGAAAAATATTATGGAGTACTAGTTAGAGAAAAAATGAAAGCTAAATAAGCATAATATTTACCCAAAAAGATTGGACAAAGGAAGATAAGATATATAATACGCAGTATAAGCAGTACTCTGTAGGCTTGGACCCGGTTCGGGGAACCCAGCCCGGCCCGGCCTCGGTTCCGGGTCTAGGCCCTATTTGGGGGGGTTATCCGGGGCGGGTACGGGCTAGGTAAAATCCGAACCGCCAGCCCGGCTGGGCCCGAGTCCAGTTCGGGCCTAATTTTTTTTTTTTCAGTTTATTTTTGCTTCCTTCCAGGTTGGGCTGAGTCACCAGGGTGTTTTGACCCTTCTTGGGGGGTGGGGGTAGGGAGTAGTTAGGAAAGAATTAAAAAAATAATTATAACAGGCCCGGTCCGACCCGGACCGGACTCGGTGGATACACAAAGTATTTAATGTTTAAACCATATAAACCCTGCAACTCCTAGGCTTCTAGTTTCCTGATAACACATCAATATTTACAGATACGCAGACCCATCACAGAACACATATTCTCATGCAAAAGATCTTACTTTTTATAAAGAGAAAGATATAATTACTTAGAGACAAAATGAAAGCTAAATAAGCATAATAATTACCCAATGAGTGATTAAATTTTTAAATGGATAATATAAAACTGTAACCTAAAACAGGTTTGTAAAGCTGACAAGACAATTATTCATATTTTATGTGCAAAGTGACCTATTTCCCTCTACGCTTTTGAACGCAATCACGTTAAATGCAAACCTTGAATTTGCAAATACCTGAAGCCCCCAAAGTTAAGAGGTTAAAGAAATGCATGGGAACAAATGCAAACATATTTCTCAGCATGTACAAGCATTGTCATTGCAGTTCCTAAGATTTATGGTAAACTAACTGATGAAGCATTACACGGCATATCTCGTTATCCTTAAAGTCTAAACTCCATAGTAGTAAGAAGACAATTAAGATTGATCAATACACCAAAGGATGCCGACTTTCATGTACAACGCGTTTGAGGATGCAAAACACTCAGCAGTGCAATTGAAAAAGGCTTACATGTTTACCAAGCCTAAACATTTATTTATTTGCTCTAAGCTTTGCACCAAGAGCTCTCTCCAGTTTACCAATTATCATCTGATTCGGAATTGCTTTTCCAGATTCGTAATCCTGAATGGCTTGTGGTTTCTCATTTATCGCCTGTAAAAACAAGGAGAAAGAATCAGAGCACTACTCGACAGTACGCTTTCGCACAAGGCCAAAACAGGCATTCTTTGTTGATTTGTGAGTGTGACCAAATAAAAAGAATAAGGCACAAAGATACCTGAGCAAGCTGAGATTGGGTCATTTTCTCGTCCATCCGAGCTTTAGAAATAGCTTTCTTCATCTCAGTAGGCACCGTAGGAACTGAGACAAAAATACCAATTAAGCAGTGAAAAAATTGTATTACTCCCATTACTTCATTAAATTTATTTCATTTTTTCCATTTCAAAAAGTGTTCATCTCAAATATCCATCTCATACTATTTTTTGTTGTACTTGTGTTGCTCAAAATCATTCATGATTTACAAATTAAATACTATCGTACTACATATCACTACCATGATTTCTTTTTTCTTAACTTTTGTGTCACTTACGAACTTAATGGAATGGATGGAGTGCAATTAGCACCAGATACAAATGCAAGAAAACATCATTTTTAGGAAAGCAATAGAATATAATGAAGATAGACATAAATTGCAGCACAACAGGGTAAAAACTCTCAGAAATTAAAAAAGAAGTAGATGTATGATCTCAGTACTTCATTTCCAGGTGTAAAGATCCTAGGTAGCAAGGATGTTTCAAAATGCCCGAATGATCCAAATGTCACTGAGTACACGGCACAAACCACAAACCACATAATTTTATCATAAAAGCAGTCGACAATATGGGACATAGTCATGTAACAACTAAGACACAGTTGAGACACAAGCTTTGCTACTTTTTATTTTTTACAAGATTACAAAAAAATAAGATTTGCTTTTAAAGAAAAAGTTCACAACTTTGTATCATCTAGTTTTCATAAAAAAATATTTGGAAGAGAAATTCACAGATAAAAGAGATATATAGATGTAATAGCACTCTTACGAGACAGATTCTTTGTGTCTTCATCAAGCTTCCTTGTGTTCAGAGATCAGAGATGTAGAACTGGATGCAGCCTTGTTTGTACCAGCAGTAGCTGCAGAGTATAGAATAAGCATGTGACCATATTATATTATTTCCTACCCAAACACTAGTATTGAGTTAAAGAACCACATGTAGAGTGTATCATCACATGATGGAAAGATGAACCAAGCACTTTGGGTTCTCCACAGCAGCATTTTCAAACAAGTAAAAGTTCTTATTTTCTTAGTTTAACAAGTCCAAGAAAGGATCTCCACACAATAGACTTGTAAAGAAACATCAAACAAGATACATATATGAGAACTTTTTCATGCAACAGAGTGATGACTCTTATTTTCTTAGGTAAAAAAGAGTCCAAGAATGGATCTCCCCACACTAATACTTGCAAAGAAGCATCACACAAGATAGGTATAAAACGTTTTACGAAACAGAGTGACATAAGATGAATAACGTTTAACATATATGACCAAACTCAAGAATTGGGAAACTTGCACGCATCATCACTTTGACCATATTCAATTTGGCAATAAAATATATTTTATGTACTTTTTTTCATATTTGAAACATTCAACCATGTAATCAACTTCTAATTTTAGAGGATAGAGCCACTTTGACCATTGTGTCTGTGTGAAGAAATTATCTGAAAAAACTTACTACCTCCGTCCCTGAATTTATTTCCAAAATAAAGTGGCACGCGGATTAAGAAAGTGAGAATTGTGTGGTGGAGAGTTGTGCAGAGGAGAGAGAAATGTTGTGAACCACAAATTCTTTGCCAAAAAGGGAAAGTGAAGTTCTTTTTTGGGACGGACCAAAAGGGAAAGTTGGAAGTATTTTCAGGGACGGAGGGTGTATAAAGTTATAAATTGTCCATAGTTCATACAGACAATTGTATTGCCTCTGGGCATACATTGGTTAGTTGGCTCACACACATTGGTTTACACTAAAATTTGATAATACACACTATTAGATATATTTAATGTGACTAGTAACATTAAATTAATGATAAGGCAGGGTTCATATTTGGAGTCAAGAGTCTTGAGTGACTTTTATTATACACAAATATGAGAAACTTTTACTAATCTACAGATAGTAAAAAATTAATTCTCATATACAAGAAATTAACTCTAGTTCTGTTAGGACTTATCTCTAGCCTTAGTTTAGGGTGCTTGAGATCTGGGCTAAATTAGTTTCACACTCATTGATAAGAAACAATTAATTTTTCGAAGATTCACAGGTAAATTGATCAATTTCGCAGACTGCTTAAATTTCATCTCAGACAACTGGTCTTAAGAATTGATGAACTTTCCCATATCTAATTCAATATCCAAGAACATTCATTAACCTTATTTATCCAAACTCAAATCCAGGAGATTTAGCATATCATAATTATCGAGAAACTAAAACAATTCACAGAAAACAGTAACCTAATCCATGAGTATAATTAAAACTGAAATCCAAAGTAATATCCATTATCTGATTAACTCAAGTGTAAATTGGAAGAGTGCAGTGATGTGTATTATCATCTTTTTCTACCCTAGACAGGAAATCTACTCTTTTGTTCGGATATCAGGAAAAGTGCATGCTTTCCACTCAATCTCGATTGTTTTAAGCAATCGCACTAGCGGCTCTGCCATGTCGCTCTTGCTGTCGCTCGTCAACATTTGGTGGATGATATTTTTCAGGGGCACATATCTGGGTCCGAGACAAAGACAAAAGGGCAAATAGTCTTCAAAATGTTTTAAAACAGGTCAACATGAACAACATGTATTAATTGGCAAGTGATTTAAAAAATGTATAACTTGTACATCTACTGAGCACATAACAGATGTACCTGTATCAATTTGAAATAATTCAAAACACACAAATATCTCTTCAAGGAATTGGAGCAAAGAGCAAGTATATCATAATCATCTGGCACTGGAGATACCTTTTCTCCTCTTGACAAGTTCATACATTAATGTAATATATGTTGACTTTGGTACAAAAGAGCCTCTCTTGGTAAGTTGTCCAAAGATATGCATTGCATCCTTATATCTCCCTTGAGCACAAAGCTCATTAATCTCTTCTGAGTCAGCAATACAGCTCGCTTCCTGTTCCGTTGAACATTCACCCTTTATGTCTTCTTCCCCACTTTTTACCGCAACAGATTCTTTAAATGAAACTCTAGTCTCATTATATTTTGACATGAAGTCTTCTGCTTCCCTTACCCTTCCACTATCACCAAGTGCTCTAACAACGGCACTATAAGTGTAACTATCCGGCCCGAGTTTCTTCACTTCCATTTGAGAAACAAGGTGGAGAGCATAATCAAGCCTTCCATCCTTACATAAGGCCCTTATAAGAGTGTTGTATGTTACAGAATCAAGCTCTTTCCCTTTATTGATCCATGTGTTGAAGAGATTAATGGCTTTCTCAATCATTCCTTCCTTACAGAGTCCCAAAAGAAGAATGTTGCATGTATACATGTCTGGTTTGAATGAATCCTCAACCATTTTGTTGCTAAATTGAAATGCTCTCCTAACATTTCCTTCCCAACAATACCCATGGATGATAGTGTTGTACGTAATCTCATCAGGCACTAAACCCTGCTCCAAAAGTTCATTGAATTTGGCAATGGCTTCCTCAGTTTTACCTGATTTGCATAGGCCAGAGATTAGAGAGTTGTATGTGACTAAACTTGGAAATATATCTTTTTCTTTCATCTCATCCCAAAGCTTAAGAGCATTTTCAACATTTGCGTTCTTGAAGTAGGCGACAATCAAAATTCCATAGCTTACTTCATCAATGATATAACCACATTTACGGGCACTAGTAAGCAACTCATAAGCCTCGTTAAGCTTCGCTTCCTGGCATAGTGTGTTCAAGACCGTATTTAGAGTCACCGTCTCCATTTTCAAACCCTTTTGTCCGATTTTGTTTATTATTTTAAAAGCCTCGGCAAGATCCCCTTTTTTACAAAATGCACTTATCAAAGTATTGTATGAAACACAATCTGGGTGAAACCCACTCTCCTCCATTCTATGAACAGTGTCTGTAGCATCGTTTAATCTCCCTTCCTTGCAATACCATTTGATTAATATGTTATAGGTAACTCCGTTAGGGTTTAGCCCGTTTTTCCTGATTTCTTCCAGTAAATCAAAGGCTTCAGAACTCATCCCAGCTTCAAAACAACCATTAATTAGTGTATTATAAGTTACCACATCAGGTAACAACTTCAAGCCAGTCATTTCCTCCCGAAGTCGAAACGCCTCCAAAATCTTCCCTGAGCTACAGAAACCATTAATCAACATGTTATAGGTCCAAACATCAGGCAGTGTATTGCTCCTTGTCATCAGTTCAACAACCTTAGCAGCTTCCTTAATACAACCAGCTCTACAATAACCGCTTACCAAAATGTTGTAAGTGTTCTTGTTTGGAAGAAGCCCTTTATTCTTCATATTCAAGAGCAAATCACGGACCTCTCTTAGCCTACCCTTCTTGCACAGTGCGTCTAAAACAGTATTATAGCTCACGTTATCTGCTCTGCACCCGAACTCATCCATCTTATCTAACAATTTAATTGCATCATTACACTTGTTCTCTACACAATGCCCGTTGATTAAAATGTTAAAAGTCATGGTATTTGGAGCTAAACCTAGCTTAAGTGCATCATTAAGCAATTCTTTACACATACGCATATTGTGGGCAGAAGGGTACTTCACCAGGGAATTGAGGAGAGTGTTGAGGGTGAGCAGCTTCGGGCGCAAACGGTGTCGCTTCATTTTTTTGAAAAGCTGAACCGCGAGATGCGGGCGGCGGCATTGGCAGTAAGCACCGATTGCGGTGTCCAGCAGAGCCCTGGAGGGCTTCGGAAGCGCGCCATCCGGGTGGAGAAGGTGGGTGTGGAGCTCGTTGGTGGGGTGATCGGAAGGGATGAAATTGAGGAGGAGGGATTTGGCATCGGCAAACTTACTGTCGGAGACGAGAGAAGAGAGGAGGTGAAGAAGGTAGGGGAGGGGAGGTACTTGGCCAGAGACGAGAGAGGGGAGGAGGTTTGAAGGTTTTGGCGAGATTGAGGCCATTGCTCTGTTTCATCTGTTTAGGGTTTGCTGGGTGCTTTGTGTTCAATTCTGAGGAACGGCTATAGCTCTAACAAAGAGAGAATGTATTGAACTGGAGAAGATGATATCTTTTGCCGTACCTCTGAGCTTTCCTACTTCGTGTCGGCGTGTCCTATCCGGCCATTTCCCTTGCTATTAAGAGATTTTTGGATAATAATAATAAAACATAAAATTTTAAATTAAAAATGATAATAAATGTAAATAATAAGGAGTAAATAAAAAATATATAGGTCTCAATAATCTCGACCACCTTACAGCACTGTCACACCCCATCATCGTAAAAAATCAAGTTACCAAAAAATGTCATGGTGAAGGAAGTTTTGAAAACAAACTCGCATATTTTCGAAGAGTAAAAAAGTGATATTCATTACATTTTTAGAGAAATGTAACATTGTGTATATAAGATGACATTATTTTCGACGATCAGAGGTGACGGTGCTGATAGGTGAAAGATGCCTGCATTTTTCAAATATTTATAGGTATTAAATTATTTTTTATAATTTTGTATTTATTTATTTATTTGTTAAAATTTTCTTATTCTTGTTTTTTATAAACATTTGTGTGATTCTTATGTTCCTATTATAAATAAACCTATTATTTTGTCGCTAATAGAATAAATTTTATTTGGGAGAATAAAGATCAAACTCAAATGGAGTTTTACTTAAATGGTAGTTGTATGTTTTGATTTTGAGTTCGAATACACTATCATTTTGATGCTGAGAATTGATCTTTAATATTGTTGCGTTCATTCAAATAGTTGAATCTGTACGAAAGAACACAAATGATATACTGTACTCGTATTACTTAGGATGGAAAGAGGCAAATTACTTACTCATATTCGCCTCTGCTTGAAACTACACACTAAGGATGTTTTAGGATTGTTTTCAGTCTCAGACCAGACCTCAACAATTATGAAATACACAGGGATCAGACATTTACCAGACCAGTTCAAACCAGACCAGAAAATTCCAGTCCGAGTAAAAACGCCCTAAGTAACCGTACCATAAAGGAACACCGAGGCAAATTACTCCAGGTTCCTTAGTTGTGATTATCCCCAAAATGGGGATAATCAGCGTCGGTCCACCCTATAACCGGTGCCGGTCCACCCTATAACCGGCGCCGGCCCGTCGGTTTTTACATGTCGCCACTATCCAGTAGCTTAACCGGCGCCGATTAGGCCAATTTTTCTACTTTCCCTACGCGTAATGAAGAACCGGCGCCGATTGGGTCTGAAACTGGCGCCGGTTAGGTCTGATTCTGCATAAAACACAAGGACGTGCAGCAATATTTTGATGGGAAAACTTCACCTTCTTCATGATCTGATCAAATATATCTTCCATGCCTAATTGTTGGGCTCGAATAGACTAAAAGATGTCAATCTTTAGCCTATATAAAGCCCCTAATTCATCAAACAAGATCATCAATCCATCCCTGAAGCTTAAATTTCAGTTTTTATATTTTCTTTTTGCATTCTCTTGAAGTGTTGGAGAATAAGCCATTTCTCTCGTCTACAATTGGTTCTAGGTATTATTTCTTGTATGTTATTGTATTTCATTGTTCTTAGTTACACTTTTGTAATTAATATGAGCATTAGAGGCTAAGTCCTTAGCTAAGGCTAGGGATGAACTTCTATGCCCACTAGGTGTTTGATAAAAGTTCTAAACTAATAAATTGTGATTTATCCTTTACATTTTGATTGTTTATGACTATGGTGTACAACATAGAAGTATGTTAAATTTAGTTTATGCTTGCAATTAACGTTGAAGTCTAAACTACGAACATTAAAAGATAAACATATATATTACCGAGAATAGAAATATATCCGGTATTATATGATACGGGTGTGATGTCTTGATATTCAACGGGGTTTTCGGCAGATGAATGTAAGCCGTAACGGGACTTACACGTAACGAAAATCCACGTTCTCGCTGCCTTGACCGGAGTTGAGAATATATTAGCGACATCGTATTCATAATTATTGGCAAAGAACTAATATTCAACCCTATTAAAGCATTTATTTAAGTGATTCCCGAAGCCTTAGTTGTTGTTATCATTTATCTTAAATTCAAATTAATTAAAGTTATATTCCTGAAAATTAAAGAGAAGAACCAAGTTGTTGTTTTCATAACAACACACAAATCAAAATCCCTGCACTTTACTTATTTCTTTCTTTAAAGTCATCTACTCTCGGACTAAATTAAATAACGTTTCCCTGTGGATTCGACCCGGTATTTTACCGGAATTTATTACTATATCAGCACTTGTATACTTGCAAGTTCAAACCGGTCAAGTTTTTGGCGCCGTTGCCAAGGAAACAGTCTTGTTTAATAAAGTCCAAACAATCAAACAATCAAAAAATCCTGAATTTTATTTTTATTTTTTTCCGCAACTTCACTTGATCTTGGAAGGGTTTATGTTTGTGTGTGTAGATATTCCTTTGTGTTTGCATGCATTTGAGATGTCGAGGTTCTAAATTTCTTGAACCACTTGATCTTGAAATAGAAAAAACTTGCAAACACATACGAAAGGAACAAAAAGCCACAAAGATGATGCCCACACTCAACGAAAGGAAGAGGCATGTGGTTGCCGCCACTTCCTCATGTATTGTCCTAAGCGAGGCGGCTAGAGACTATGAAATGAAAAATAGCTACTTCAATGCTATGCCTCAATTTCATGGTCTTCCGGGGGAGAATCCACTTAACTTCATCACCGAGTTCTATGGGTTCATCCAAGGGATCCCCAGGCATGGACTCACCGAGGACGATCTCAAACTCAAAAGCTTCCCCTGCACTTTGAAAGGGGCGGCAAGGATGTGGTTCTTGGAGCAAGCACCGGCAACCTTTACAGCGTGAGAAGGTAGCTTTCATTTCTAAGTATTACACACCCACAGTGACTCAAGAGCTAAGACAACAAATCTTCAACTTCAAACAACAAGTTGTTGAACTTTTCCAAGGTGCATGGAGGCGTTTTAAGGCCTTATTGAAGGAATGCCCACATCACCGCATTCCCCTTGAACTTCAAATAGATACATTCTACAATGGTTTGAACTCTTCATGCCAAGCCATTGTAGACAACCGTGCGGAGGTGTCTATAGCTCATAAATAAGACAAGCGGTTTGCTGATTTTCAACAAGCCATGCACAAAGATCTTCAAGCTTCTATTCACACGGCTTTACAAGCCATGATCGGAGGGATTAGTCAAGTGGCAAATGTGGAAAGCATAGCACAACCGGAAGGTAATTCACCTCAAACTCTTGAAGAAGTGAATTATATGAACTCATATGGAAATAGGGGGGATCAAGGAAGTAACAACTATTCCAACAATCAACAAATGTTTAACCAAGGTAATTCTTGGAGACCACAAGGAGGTCCTTCTAACCCCCATCCAGTTTTGCACAAGGCCAAAAAGAGCAAACAATGGAGGAGATGATGAAAGCCCTCACTCAAAATGTTGTGGCTATAAAAGCCCAAAATGAGGAGAATCATAGTAGAGTGGAGGCATCCATTGGGAATCTCCACTCTCAATTCACCAAGTTGGATCTTCGTTTTGAAGATCAAAATATGAAGCTCAAACAACGCATCGACACCATTGAGCAATACAACAAGGCATCCATTCGGAATCTTGAAGTTCAAATAGGGCAACTTGCCCAAAAAGTAAGTTTTAGGGAGCAAGGCAAATTCCCTACAACCACGGAGATGAACCCAAGAGAGAATGTGATGGCCATTACCACAAGGAGTGGTAAGACAACGGAGGACCCGAAAATGCCGGAAAAGGAGGAGACCCCGGAGAAGCAAAAAGAAGATGGAAATGAGGAGCATATGATGCCACCATCAAATATGGCTAATTATGTTCATCCCATTCCATATCCTCAAAGATTGAAGAAGAAGAAGAATGATGATGCTCAATATAGAAAATTCCTTGATATTTTTACTAATTTGAGCATCAACATTCCATTTGTCGAAGCTATAGCGAAAATTCCATCTTATGCCAAATTCGTGAAAGGCATACTCTCAAACAAAAAGAAGTTGGCGGAATTTGCTACCATTGCCCTTACGGAGGAATGTAGTGCTATTCTACAAAACAAACTCCCTCCTAAATTGAAGGATCCCAGAAGCTTCACGGTGCCATGTTCTATTGGCAAGATTGGAGAGGTAAGATCCCTTTGTGATCTCGGTGCTAGTATCAACCTCATGCCCCATTCCTTATTTAAAAAGCTTGGTGTGGGGGACTTCAATCAACTAACATAGCATTACAACTTGCGGATAGATCAATTCGCCACTCTATTGGAGTTATGGAGGATGTGCTTGTCAAAGTTGGGAAATTTTATTTTCTTGTGGATTTCCTTATCTTGGAGATGGAAGAAATGGAGATCCCAATTATTCTTGGAAGGGCGTTTCTAGCCACTGCAGCCGCCCTTATTGATGTCAAAAACGGAATTGTCAAATTCCGTGTTGGAAATGAAGAACAGGAGTTCCATGTTTGGGATGCATTGAAGAAACACCATGATGATCTTTCTTGTTTTAGCATTGCCATTCTTGATACATTGACTCAAGAATGTGTTGGGAAGATAATCCATGAAGATCCTTTGGAGACTTGCATCATGCTAGGATGCAATGAAAAAGAAGAAAGCCATGAACTTCTTGAAGAAGTTATGTACTTGTAACTCGGAGCTCCTCTCACACATTCTCAAGATAAGCAATGCAGGCCCCACTTTGGATTATAATCAAAGTGGCATTCTTAGTGACAAAGCATATGATGAGGCGGCAGCACGACGGTTCTTTGGGCTTAAAACAAGCTTTAATACCAAATACCTATGGGACATCCACAAACGCCTCATCGTCTATCTCATTGGCTTCAACATTGTTCCCCATGCTAGCGACCGCCACAAAGTTCGAAAGATTGATCTTTACCTTCTTCAAAAGATGCTGGTCGGGCTAGGGGATATAGAAGAGATACCACTACCTCGCCTCATCATAAAAAACATGAAAACGGTGGTGCTCTCCAAAAAAGGTGAAAAAAACTTTTGTCACCCTCTTTTACCCACCAAGATTTTCAAGCACTTTCGGGTAGATTTTGATGGTGAGGAAGTTGTGAATACTACCTGATGGAGTATATGGCCCAGGAACCCCCGACCCATAGACTCCTACTTCTCCTACACAAGTCCATTGGGCCCAGAGAACAACTCAGGCCCAAATGCAACGGCCCAAGCCTCAAAGTAGCCCAGAATACACGCTGGGGGTGCCTTCGGCCTCCTTGGACGAAGGCTCCAAAAACTCACAGGACAGCCTTCTCTGACATAAGAAGCTACTGGGAGAAAACGGCGAAAGACATGAGCCTTCGGCATTATCAAGCCCTCGGCATCGGAGAAGCCTTCGGCTGAACCAAGCCTTCGATCACACAAGGTCGTCGGCTACACAGGGGTCCTTGGTCACATGGAGCCCTCGGCTACACAGGGAGCCTTCGGCCAAACATGCTCAATCATCGAAGATTCCTTTTGGAGACAACCAACCACCGCATTTAATGCCACGTCACATCCACCAACCGCATTCAATGCGGTGAACGTACCGCTGCCGGTGCCACCCGGCTGATGTGACCCCTCGGCTGTTGAATTACTGACACGTGTACTCTCATCACATTTATTGCTGCTATAAATAGCAGCCCATTTCTCCTTGTAAACGATCCGGATCCCACATCTATCCCCAACTACACATCTCGAGTTCATTTAATAAAATCGACTCTCTCTCCTCCTATTTACTCTGACTTCTCTCTAGTTATTCCCGCAATAACCCCTCGGATAAGATACCCCCCGGGTAGACCGTCCATCACTACCAAGGCTAATGTTTTGGACAAAGAAACCATGATTGCACTCAAAGACAAATTGTCCAACTCCGGGAAATGGTATTTCCCCGAAGGCATCAGCTTGAAGAGAGATGATGATGATGAGGCGGAAGAGGAACATGAAGACGAAGCCATGGAGTATGCTCATGATGATGAAACCGCACCCGAGCCACCGGTGCCACCACAGCCACAACACACTACCGATCCCGCGATGGCATACTTGATGCACACCGGGGCTCGAATGCACACGCGGATGGACGAGCAAGACGCACAGCAACAGAGGTTTGAGGAGCAGTTCGACAAATTCACATGATACTACTACTCCCAACATGGGTATCCCCCTCAAGACCCAGAAAATTAATTACACCATTGTTGTTATTGCTTTTCCTACGACATTACTTTTTTCAAACACATCTTATTGTGGATGTTGAAAGTACTTGTTTATCATGCTTGATACATTGGGACAATGTATTATAAGTGTGGGGGTGCATCTCATGGGTAGTTAAAACAAATTTGTGTGCAAAAATAATTTTTTCTTAGGAAGGTAAAAATTGTCATATTTCTCTTTTAATAGGTATTTGCTTGAGAAAGTTTTTTTTATTATTCACATAAAAATATCATTTTTTCTTAGATTTCTACACTACTTTTTACTCTTGAAAACCACATCCAAACAATTTTTTTTTTGTGACTAGGAACACAATCTTCGTTCATTTCCAAAATTGGTTCAAATTCATCTCATGAATTCAAAAACCATTTTGGAGCACAAACCACCCTCATATATCATCAAATAAAAGATCATATAAATGACTTTCAGTAAATACTGGTTGAAGACCAATTCAAATGAGTATCCTTTAAAAAACGGAACTCATGGTTTCTTCCAAAAATCTCACCCGATTCATTCTTATTCTGAAAAGTCATTACACCAAAAGGCCACCCTACACCCACCAAAACACCAGTCACAATTCACTCATCAAATTCTCAAGAGTATAAGTAATTTTTCTAAATCTAATGCTATTTTTTGTGTGTCTAATAGAAAAATGGTTTTGGACCGAGAATGATAAAAGAGTTTATATGTCATTTTTACCTATCTTAAAATCAATTTATTTATATATATATATTTGGGAAACCAACCCAAGGCATCCAAAGGTGACAACATTGCTTGAGGACTAGCAATAATTATAGATAATTATGATTATTTGTACAAAAAAATAAAGATAGTTTGTTGATCTCATTGACGAGGCGCACCTTCCAATATTTTTCTTTTAATTTTTCGGAGGCTTTTTAAAATTAGAGTTAATTTTTCTAACGCCGTTAGACGCCATGCCCCGGCTATGATAACAGAATTAAAACACATGCCCCACTTTGTTAGAAAATGAAACACATGCCCCTATCTGAAAATGACCAATGCCATATGTACGTTTTCTGTACTTTTCCCTACAATTAATAAGTTTTTATAAAACAAAAAATAAGAAAAAGAAAGTGAATAACAAGATATGAAGGAATGATCATGATGTTCATTACTAGATATGAATGAATGATCATGATGTTCATGACTAGATTCTTAATACTCAATAGAATACGTTTGATGCTCATTAAAAGTGTAATAATGCTCATCTTACAAAAACCCCGACTTTCATTGAAATTACGAAAATGCCACCGTTTTTTAGTTGTGATATGAGCTTTCTTGTAATAAAATCGTGCTCATTATTAAACTTTCAATACTCATTAAAATTGGACAACTGCTTATTAACAATACACCAATGCTCATTCAGCAGAAACCGTGATTTTTTTATTTAAATTACTAAAATGTCACCGGCTGTACGGTTCTCACCATACAACCGGCTGTACGATATAGGGACTCAATATCAACCACACAAACCTACTTTTCTTAATAATCGTGTCACCTTTCTCGTGCGAATCTTAGTGGGACGGAGGTAGTATTTGTTTTTGGTTTTTTTTTTGTTCAAAAAAAGAAAAAGAAAAAAGATGAAAAAACGTTCAAAGTAAGTAAACGAATCCTCTGTCCCGGAGATCTGAAAACAAGCCGCACTCCAAAGCTTTCCTCTCCTCGGCTCCATCGTTACTCCCACGCTTCCGATCAAGCCCCCAATAGACCATCCACTCGCTTCAACCCCATTCACACTTGATTCACCTCTGCAGACTTAGCTCTCGACGCCCTTACTCCGTCTGCTGTTTATCTCGTCCCTGCCTGAACTTTGTACCTTTCTATCCTAATACTACCATCGGAGTCCGGTCAATCGTCCGCCGCTTAAATTTCACGTGTCAGAGGTTTGACCTACTTGTGTCCGAGTTGCTTGTGCCCATCACACCATTTCCCCCAGGTTGGGCCTGCATTGCTTAATAGAATTTGTGTATCTATGGATACGTATACAATCTGATTACCTTATCTAAATTTAAGATTTTGTGTATATGTGTTATTTCGTGTAGATCTATGTATGCATATATTACATATGCGTGTATGTTTACGGTTTATCCTATTTCGTAGATTCTATAGGAAATTAGGAATATATAGTATGAAGAAGTATATTCTATGTCAATTTTCCTTATCAATCTTTTTAAAGAAAATATGTTGTCTTCCACCTTGCCAATTGTGTGCATATCGGATTGCAGTATTGACAACATAATACTTGAACAGATGATATAAAAAAACTAAAATCTATGAGTTCTCACAGTGATGTGTTTATAAGTGGTTGATATAATCATTGTTTTTCTATCCTTTATTTGGGGGCTTGCATATATTTTACTGCTATTTAACCATATTTGTTTTCTAATAATCTAATCAATGTCTGTGATGAATATTTCCCCCCAAGTAAAGTAGTGTGAAGGAGATGAAATAAGACTCTGTATTACCACTTTGTTTAATGGCAGTATATAATGCCATTGATATACTGGTCAACTAACCAGAGATCTTATAGTCCAACCTGATTATTATATGTGAGCATTATTTGTGTTTTTTACTTTCAATTGTATTTTGTAGGAAATGGACGAGGACTTTGAAAAGGATGCCGGGGATACACATGCTAAAGTGCCTGCCACACATACCGAGACCGAGGTAAAGACAAATAGGAAGAAAAAGAAAGGTCTGATATCAAGAATGTGGAATGCACTCTTTAAATCTGGTAGAGACGATTTTGAGAAGAGACTGCAACACATTTCCAAAGAGGAGGCCGCTGTTATTCAGAGAATCACAACGCGTGCTCAAAGAGTTAGTAGGACTTTGAGAAACCTCATCATACTTTCCGTACTTTTTGAGGTAATGCTTTATTACCCTGTCATTTTGAAGGCAGTCAAGATCACTTTAAAGCCTCTGTAACCTCTATGTTGTGTTATGTTTTTATTTCATTATGAAGACATGACCACATAGTTTCACATTTTCAACATACAATGATACAAAAAGTCTTCCTCACTAATTTTAATGGGAATTTTATTTGCAACTATTATTCCCTCTTGGAGTAACCATGATCTTGCACTTCTTATTTTCCTGTGGCCATGTATAATCAAAATCTCAAGTTTTGGTATTTAACAGGAAGTTAGTAATTGTTGACAGAGCTATTATGCTATAGTATTCCTTGCCCGAATGTTTAATTTGCTGAAATTCTCAGGGATTTTCTTATTCTGTAGCCCTCTTTACATTATCAAAGTTCTTGTTTTGTTTTAAGATGTTTGAATGACAATAAAGATATAAAGTTTACCCCCCCCCCCCCCCCCCAACAACATCCATCCAAGCCTTAATAATCCCAAAAGATTTTGGGGTCGGCTAACATGAATCGATCCATGATATCGATGCCAAAAAGAGAAGAACAAACAAGAAGAAGAAAAAGATAAAACAAATAAGATAAAGATAAATAAATACTCCCTCCGTATTTTCAAGCTCTCTACAATAGGGCTGGGCACAATATTTAAGGGTGAAATAGCAGGAGTAATGAATAGTGTAGAAAAAGTAGGAGATGTGTAAAAGTATGAAAGAGAAGATAAAAAGTAGGAAAAGTAAGGATAATTGAGTATTTTTAAATGCAAAAACTTACCAAAAATGGAAAGTGTAGAAAACTTTAAAATACGGAGAGAGTATAAGATAACAATAACATAATAATATAAGAAAGATAAAAGATAAAAGGATAAAAGAGCATACAAAAAGCTAGAAGATAAAAAATAACATAAGAACATAAAAAAAGATAAACGATAAAAGAAAACGAGAGAGGAAAAAAAGAAAAGAGATCAATCGTCCACACGATTGTGCGCCCTCCACTTTGCCCTCTCCACAACCATACTCTCATACAACCCAAAAAGACGCATATCAGTTCTGTTTAACTCTCCCCCAATAATAATTAATTTTTTATGGGGAAAATAATTCAAATACCCCAAACTTTAATGGGATGTGAGATAAGTAACCAAAACTTGCATATGTAATATATATACTCCAAACTTTATATAAAAAGTTATTTTCGCACCATGATTGTATGTTTTTTACAAATTCAAATTTATTGGAATATAATTGCATAATTTAAAGTACTCCAAGCATTGTTAGAATGCAATTAACATTCTAAAATTTCATTGGTGAAATAAATAATATTACATCCGGTGCAATTTAATTTTAATTGCATCCTCAGAAATGTTTTGTTTATTTTAAATTATCTACTAACACCATAAAATTATATTTGTGAAAATATATAATCATGGTGCTAATATAACGCTTTATATAAAGTTTGGAGTATATATATTACATGTGCAAGTTTGGATTACTTATCTCACACCCCTTCAAAGTTTGGGTTATTAAAGTTTACATATTATAAATAAAAATTGATATATAAATAATAGATTAAGAGAGTTAACTTGACAACAGGAATAGTGAAAGAGAACCTTGTTTTTAGATGGAGTACAACGCATGATGTGATAGAACCGGTTCCTGTACTTCTGGCAGTGTTAGAAAATACAAGAACACCTATTTCGTGCGTAGTGTTAGCTAAAATTAGATTGTTAAGTAACTACTCCCTCTATCCCTAGAGAAGTCATACACTTTTCTTTTTGGTTTATCCCAAAGTTCTCACCAATTTCCTTTTAAAGAAGCATTATGTGTTTCATGGTATATCTTTATTTTTCTCCCCTTTAAATAAATTTCAACCACATGGTTTTCAATATCTTGACCACCATGCCCGGTCAAATGAGGGGTTTATTTAGAGACAGAGGGAGTATTCACTTATTATCATCACTCATTCACTACCGGTCACACTGGATTCTTACATATTGTGTTTGGCCTCTATTATAGTTCGTTAAAATCAGAGATGCTGTTGTCAGTGAACTTATGGTTTATAGTTGAGAGATCTAGGATATGAGTATATGACAGATATTGGGTTTGCTTTTATCCATATACTGGATCTTACCAAGAGACGGCGGTTTGAGCTTGTCAGCTAATTATTTACCGAAGTCAATAAATCAATCAAAGATGAGATGCTAACACAAATAGAAGTTTGTTTGGCTAATACATTTGAAGCCTGTCAAAGATGTGGTGCTAGAAGCCTAGATGTAGTCCCTCATTTATTGTTCTTAAAATTGCATCATTTTGAGAATAAAACAATTCTAATAGTATTGCCTTTGGAAAATGTTATTATTGTCAGGCTATTGCGGTGGGTTATGCTATCATGACTACTAGATCACTTCACCTAAATTGGAAATTGAGAGCTCTGCGCGTTTTGCCTATGTTTCTATTACCCGGGTTATCTTTCGCTATATATACAGCACTTGGAAGCTTCAAAAGGATTTGTAAGCACTTATTTATGTTATATAACTGTGTAAAGTATGTTATCTTATGCATCTTTTCTTTTTCTACTTTCTTTGTAATAAAAAAATCACACTTATTCCTGAAACATTGTATAAAGCATGCCACTCAATATTATGTGTCTTTGAATGAGTTTTTTGAGATGGTTTTGACTCCCAAAGTGCAATTTTAAATAAAATGCTCTCCTGTCATGTGTTTAGGTGTGGAGCGCATGGGTGAAACTAAAAACGCTGATACACAAAAGCTACAATTGTAGCTTCTCGATGTGAGATTATGTGTTTTGTAGTTTTTTGTATTTGAGATTAAGAGAGAACTTAAGTTATTTTATATATTTATTAAAAGCAATGCTAAAAGCAAATAGTTCATATGATGTGGGCCAGGGGAATACTAATCCATGCAATTTTGAATAAGTTTTTTGATGCTATCTGGCCACATAACAAAGTTGGCATTGAAATGTATTTTGTCTCTGCGTTAAAAGCTTATGCCTTGTTTTCAATCTTTTTAGGTGACAACAAGGATCAGAAAACCTTGCAAAGGCTCCGTGCTGAAAAGAAAGCAAAGATTGATGAACTCAAGGAGAGGACAAATTATTACATTACACAACAACTCATTCAGGTAAAGGAACTTAAGGGCAACTGGAATGTTACCTTTTTTTTAAAAATCTTTTTGGATATCCAAACAGATTGAAACAACAATGTTACACACACCACATCATTGTTTACCTGGAAGACGAATTGTTTAGCCACGAACTTTTGTCATTTTTTTCTTTAGTTTAGTTATATTTTGCAGCTTCATGAATAAAATAAGTGGGTGATCTTTGACATGTAAGATCACCAGTTCAGTTTTTTTTTAATGTATAGCATTGTGTGATTTTTTATTTGGCTTCACCTGGATGGCTGGATATATTGAACTCATGCCCTGCAAATGCTGTTTAAGCATTAGTTGGCAGTGTAGGGCCTAGCACTTGGTCTCAGAGTAATTAGGGTTAGCTGCGATCTAACTAGAACTAAGGTGGAGATGAACTAGAAAAAAACAAGTTTTCGTAGGAGTGTAGGAGAGCCTAATGCCTATGAGCCTATCCGGGACTAATTGGGATTACAAATTTACAACAACAACATCTAAGCCTTAATCCCAAAAGGTTTTGGGGTCGGCTAACATGAATCAATCCATGATATCGATGCTAAAAAGAGAAAACGGAAAAAAGAATAAAAAAACTATTGGGATTAGTTGTGGTTTTAGGACAGTGGGTCAGTCCATGCAGTGGCCGTGTATGATTTGCTGCTCCCAGTGTATTAGTTATTTGTAATGAAGCAGCAGTCAGTCCATGCAATTTTGGATGCGATTTTCACTATGGGTCATCCGGAAACAGTCTCTCCGTGCTTTAGTACAGGGGTAAGACTGTGTACATCCGACCTCCCTTACCCCACCGTAGGTGGGAGCCTTTGCGGCACTGGGGTAAATGAAAATGATGAAAATGAGTGTATTAGTTAGTTGTTAGCAGCAGTAAACTGCACATCCTTGACATCATTATTTACTGCTTTATGAACTGATATCACTTGCGGTCCCACGAATATGTGATACCTTGAGACTGCTGTGAGATGAATATGCTTTCTTTCCTGATGATAAATTTAAACGTGAATACACTACTCCTTTCATAAAAAAGATCTTCAACATTTAACATGCCAAGTTTTTCTTTTTCTACTAACATGATCAGTGCTTGATGACATCATGATGTGCAGAAGTATGATCCTGACCCTGCTGCTCAGGTTGCAGCTGCTACCGTGCTCGCTTCCAAGCTTAGCGCAGATACTGGGTTGAAGGTGTTTGTGGGGAATGAGTCCCAACGTAATTCCCCTCCTACTGGTGGGAAGAGTAGTGATGTTGAACTTGCTAATTCCACTGGACTTCGTAACCGAAAGCAACCGGCAAGCAGATCAACTGGCTCTGAAAGAAGTGCCACAACAACAGTGCACCAGTCTCAAGAAGAACAAAAAATGCTAGACGGTTCTGATATGGTCGAGCATCATCCACCGGTGGTTGAGCATTACAACCCAATTGGTCCAACCGCACAAAATGGAGGGTGGCTTTCACGCATTGCGGCACTGCTAGTGGGCGAGGATCCAACACAGTCTTATGCACTTATTTGTGGCAACTGTCACATGCACAATGGTATGACCCCCCCCCCCCCCGGTCATAGAGGAGATTGATTTTGTGTGTGGATGATCTTCATCACCACAACAAAAGGATTACTCTCTTTGTCCCTATTTAGTTGACGTTTTACAAAAGTGCACATTGATAGATCACTGGAATCCTCTAACTCAGAACAGTATAAAATCAGTAGAAATGAACAAGAACAGATCGGAGAGGATCAGGAATTCTTATTATCAAAGATGAACAGAACATAGAAGGAATACAGTAGCCTCAGACAATTCGAGATGCCTAGTCTCCCAGCCTATTCTCAACGGAATACTTGCCTACCTATTTTCCTCCCCTTCCCTTTCTATTTATAATACTATATGTACCCATATTATTATTATTATTATTATTATTATTATTATATTATTATTATTATTTCTTATTATTATCCTACTAAGCCAGATTCCTATCAATACTCCCCCCCCCAAACAACCACCTTGTCCTCAAGGTGGTGATAGGAATCATCCATGATCTTCCACTTCCACTTAGTTCTTGCACCTCTCCCTTCCCAATATCTGACTGATTTCTGGACCTTTAGCTTGGTTATTTCATTTTTCTTCCACATGTGCTTCACAGCAAAAGTACACAGATGCAAGGACATGGTGGCCATGGCATAATGCTCCTTAATGTTGTAAACGATATAATATCCCAACATCTGCCTCTTTTGTTGTAACCCTGGCTTTACTTCCAACATCTTTTCCAGGAACTTGGTTCTTTCAGATTCTGTGAGGTATAAGGCACATCATGCTACATCATAGAGAACAACAGCAACTTGCTTACATAGATCTTCATCATAATTCAGCACTCTCACATAAAGTAGACATAATCTGAGGAGTTTCAGCTCTAAATGGATCAACAAACAAACCTGTTTTAACCTTTTTAAGAACACACTTACAAACTTCAACTGTTTGATCAATCCACCTCTTTAAAAATTCTCTAACTAACGGTTAAAAACCACATTGATTACAAATTTGGGCATAGCCAAGAGGTCCCAAAGAGTGTGCAGTCCATCCAGCCACTTTCCATCAGTTTTGACAGCACTAGCAATTTCTGGCTTTAAAGATAAATTCATGAGTTGTTCCCTCTTGGAGGCATCAATTCCTGCAGCTTGAATAGTAGGGCCCAGATCCACAATGATTCTACTCAACCGGTAATCTGAGCTTGGTCCTCATTTTTCAGCATAAGCAACACCCTTCACCATTCCTCTTCTATTAGTAAGTGTGTGAACCATGTTATTAAAACCTACACCTCCATCTAGCAAACGAGTATAAACTGGTGTCATTCGCCTAGCATTTTCAGCAACCATTCTGGCATCAATAGTTGTTTCCGAGCCAGCATAAACTGCTGCTGATTTCTTTTCCTCATCAGTTTGCCATTCTGATAGTGACCTACTGTCAACCAACACCTTGCAATCTTCAAAGTAGCAATCTAACTGTTGATTTGGAATTTCCAGAACCTCAACAGCTTTATCCCTAGAACCCATACATGTCTCGTGATCTGCATACTTCTTCATAATGTTCCCCTCTGCTATTTTCTCTATACAGGCAGTCCAGGCACCCAAATCCAGAGAAATGGTTCTCACAATGTTCCTAAATGGTGCCTCTTTCTGAGATATGGCAATATCATGTACTGACCAGTGCACTGTGGTGGCATCATGTATAATGTCTGAGGATATTCCATTCTCTATGACTCTATGGAATACTGCATCTCTCCTTTCGCTATTAATTCCATTAGTAGCAGCAGTATTTGAGGTAGCTTGATGCTCGTCTACTTGTACTTGTACTGTGACATTAGTATTTGAATCATCAGCGGATTCATATTCAATGGCACTAGAGGCTTGAGTCACCACATAAGATTTCTCCTCATCTGTCTCCCAGTTAAGCTTGAACACTCTGGTTCCCATTCTGACTTGTCAGACTCATACCATGAAGAAGCGGTATCAACCAGGGATTCAGCAATGGTGCCAGCTTCAGGTCCATCCTCAGGACCTCAACTGTAGTTTGCTCCTCCAGTTCTTCTTGTGGATTCGGTTCCTTGATTACAGATTCGATTGACTTCAACTCGATATTCGTTATCGAATGTGTAGTCTCCAACAATCTAATTCCATAATCAGCGATGTCTATGGCTCTCGAAGAAGAAGCAATTTTCGCAGGGTGATAAACCTCTTGGGACAAAACTTGCGCAGGGTGAGAACTGCCTGGCGACAAGACTTGCGAAGAAATTCTTCTCTCGGTAGCATTGCATTCTGATGCGAGTGGATAGCCGATGGGAACGCCTGCGGACTGAAATGCGAACTGAGAGAAGTAATTCACATCTCTGATTCTCTGAACTAGGATAAATAAACGATGATGCTGGTTGCGAAGACTTCTGTGAACGAATGAGGGAATCGACTCGCGATGATGAACTGTGAGAATCAGTTCACGACAAAGATTTCGAACTGAAAGAAGTTCTTGGCGATCGCGAATCGTGGTTCTCTGTCTGCCGACTGCGACTAGGTTGGAAACGTTGAGTTATGGCCTCCTTCAGATCTTCCCAATTTTTCTCTCTCGTTTGGAAACCAGGCTAACACCCTTTCCTCCATCGCTCCTACTATTTCAACTTAATTTTTCTCCGCAGTAGCCTTGAGACGGAAATACTCTTTCATCCTAACAATCCAACTGTCTGCATTATCCCCGTTAAACAATGGTAATTCAACCTTTATTCCCGTACGAACAGGTCTTCTACTGATATCGCGATCTGCACTAGAACGAGAATGATCGGAATTTTTCGCGTCTCCCAGATGTGAAATGCGAGCTGCACTGAGTGAGTGATGGATTCCTCGGTCGATCTTGGTTACTGTTTGTTAGGAACCCACTTATTAGTCTAATAATAGAAAGAATATTATTAATAGATACTGATTAGTGGGCCTGTTAAAATGGGCCTATTAGTATAGAGAATAATAAGAGAGCATATACTATAAATAGTAAGGGGAAGGAAGGGAGAAAGGAGGCTTTTGGGACTTTTAGTCTGGGACTGGGAAAGATTAGAGGATTCTTTTCTCTTCTCTTTTGGGAGGCTTCGGCCTTTGTTACTGTTTCTCTCTGTAACCATCTTCTTCATCAATAAAGGTTTTACAGTTTGCTTCTTGATATAATTTCTGCAATTTGTTATTGAATTTCTGGAGGATCTCTATCATTGGTATCAGAGCTCTACGTCCTGGAGACCGAGAATCTGAACGATGGAAGAATTCTGTACGCCAGAAATGGAGGAGAGGTTGGATTCGCTGGAAAGGAAGATCGATAGAAGCCGGAAGGAGTTAAATGCGAAATTCGAGGAATCAAAGGCAAAGTTCGAGGAATTAATAGCGAAGATGAAGTCTGGCTTCGCGGCGATTAAGAACCAGAAGAAAGAACATTCGAAGAATCGATCGCACACTTCTTCCAGGTCGCATCGCGACTCTTATCATCGTCACTCACGATCGTCATCAAGTCCAGAAAAATCAGAAGAGCAAAGGCATCGCAGAACATCTGGAGATCGATCGAGGAACACCAGGCATGAGCCGATATCACCGACTGAGTCGCAGACGAAATCGCGAAATTCTTTTCACCAATCTCAGTCGCGAACAGAATTTTCATCATCATCGCACACATCGCATCGGTCTCACCATCATCATTCGCCTAGCCATCATCAATCGCGTCACTCGCAAAAATCAGTCTGTTCAGAGGAGTTGGAAGACCAGAGGCGTCGCAGAAGAACTGAAGAACGATCAAGGAAGAATAGGTCTCTTCCACTAACTGACAAACAAGCTGGGGCATTGATTTCACATGGAGGTTCACCTACTTGGATGAAGGTTATGAGTGAAGGAAGGATTATTGAGGATGATAATGGGGCTGAAACAGCAGTGAACAATCAAAAATGGACTGTTAGGATGCATTCTTCTGATATGCTTAAAATCATTCTGAAACCCCAGGTGGAAGAGGGATTATCTGCTCCTTATAATTCAAAGGATCAACATCAAGTCTATTCTCCAGTTGTGTTATCTGATATGGTGCATATGAATGGGAAAGGTCCTACTAGGTGTGACTCACCTGTCAACTTAGATACGGAGTTTGTGGCTGGAGAGCTCAGAATTACAGATTATATCCCTGAGAAAACAACAGGTAATTATGAAGAACAATATATTGAAGCAAATGGACAGATGAAATTGAAACAAAGCTTGAACAAAGCTTGAACAGGGCAAGGCTTTATTCTGGTGAAGAATGCTGTCTTGTTAAACGCCAGCCTGTCCAGCCTATATCTGGGAGCTCCTCAGATTTTGGGTTGAAATGGACAGGTAATTTTACTCTGGGCAGCAATGTTGAAGAACAGGTTCATAACATAGAGGAGTTTGTTGTGGTCCCTGAAGTTCGTTCTGTGGCTGCAAGAGTTTTTGGCTCTTTAATAAGGGAAAGGAAAGAAGAAAACTGGCCAGACTGGGGACTTTGGCGGTTAGAAAATCTGACATCGCCTGGTAGCATTGTTGTGCACAACATATGTGGGCTATTGAAGTTTTATAAGACAAATCTTGCCACTACAAATGATTCTATCATTGACACTAACTGCCTTACAGAGTGGATGGTAAATGGAGAAATTCGCATAGGGCTTGTTGCAGATTATGATTTGAGTAACTTGAGCAACATCAAATATGCATCCAACACATTGATAGCTTCAGAAGTGAGCAACATCAAATATGCATCCAACACATTGATAGCTTCAGAAGTGAGAATCCTGGAGGAGTCTCATGAAAACAAGGAAACAATTGCAGTTAGTGAGTGCTGGGAGGCTACAGCAACAAATGCAATTACAGTGATTTTAAGGGAACAAATACCAAAGCTTCTGGTTCAGCAAGCAGTAATGTACTGGGAAGGAAGAGGAGCAAGGAAAAAAAAAGCAGAAGCTCGTGGCTGTCTCCTACCGCCCACCTTGAGGGCAAGGTGGTTGTTTAGGGCGGGAGTATTGTTAGGAACCCACTTATTAGTCTAATAATAGAAAGAATATTATTAATAGATACTGATTAGTGGGCCTGTTAAAATGGGCCTATTAGTATAGTAGTATAGAGAATAATAAGAGAGCATATACTATAAATAGTAAGGGGAAGGAAGGGAGAAAGAAGGCTTTTGGGACTTTTAGTCTGGGACTGGGAAAGATTAGAGGATTCTTTTCTCTTCTCTTTTGGGAGGCTTCGGCCTTTGTTACTGTTTCTCTCTGTAACCATCTTCTTCATCAATAAAGGTTTTACAGTTTGCTTCTTGATATAATTTCTGCAATTTGTTATTGAATTTCTGGAGGATCTCTATCACTGTTCATCTTCGCGATTGTCTCCTCTAGTGTCGCCAAATTCATCGTAGTTTTTTCCATCGCTTTCTCCATCTTTTCTAGCGTACAGGTTACTCACAGCGATTCACGTGCTCTGATACCAATGATAGCTCACTGGAATTCTCTAACTCAGAACAGTATTATTATTATTATTATTATTATTATTATTATTATTATTATTATTATTATTATTATTATTATTATTATTATTATTATTATTATTATTATTATTATTATTATTATTATTATTATTATTATTATTATTATTATTATTATTATTATTATTATTATTATTATTATTATTATTATTATTATTATTATTATTATTATTATTATTATTATTATTATTATTATTATTATTATTATTATTATTATTATTATTATTATTATTATTATTATTATTATTATTATTATTATTATTATTATTATTATTATTATTATTATTATTATTATTATTATTATTATTATTATTATTATTATTATTATTATTATTATTATTATTATTATTATTATTATTATTATTATTATTATTATTATTATTATTATTATTATTATTATTATTATTATTATTATTATTATTATTATTATTATTATTATTATTATTATTATTATTATTATTATTATTATTATTATTATTATTATTATTATTATTATTATTATTATTATTATTATTATTATTATTATTATTATTATTATTATTATTATTATTATTATTATTATTATTATTATTATTATTATTATTATTATTATTATTATTATTATTATTATTATTATTATTATTATTATTATTATTATTATTATTATTATTATTATTATTATTATTATTATTATTATTATTATTATTATTATTATTATTATTATTATTATTATTATTATTATTATTATTATTATTATTATTATTATTATTATTATTATTATTATTATTATTATTATTATTATTATTATTATTATTATTATTATTATTATTATTATTATTATTATTATTATTATTATTATTATTATTATTATTATTATTATTATTATTATTATTATTATTATTATTATTATTATTATTATTATTATTATTATTATTATTATTATTATTATTATTATTATTATTATTATTATTATTATTATTATTATTATTATTATTATTATTATTATTATTATTATTATTATTATTATTATTATTATTATTATTATTATTATTATTATTATTATTATTATTATTATTATTATTATTATTATTATTATTATTATTATTATTATTATTATTATTATTATTATTATTATTATTATTATTATTATTATTATTATTATTATTATTATTATTATTATTATTATTATTATTATACTCCCTCCGTCCCAGGGAGAAGTTCCCGGGTTGACTTTCACACATATTAAGGAAATAAAGTTACTAAGGGGTAAATTTTACTGTTTGGCACGGTTTCGACACTGTTTGGCACTGTTTCGACACTATTTGGCACTGTTTTGCACTGTTTGGCACCGTTTTTATGTAGGATAACTTTCCATTTAAGGAAATGGGAACTTTTTGTTGGGACTGCCAAAAAAGGAAATTGGGAACTTCTCCCTGGGACGGAGGTAGTAATTATTATTATTATTATTATTATTATTATTTCTTATTATTAGCCTACTTTTCCATCATTTGCAATGGAGACAAAGATTCATTATTTTTTGGCTTGAGAATATGATGGAATAAGCAAAATGACTCACTAAACTGTTTGCGCTTCTTTGTTATGAAGCAACAGTCAGTCCATGCAATTTTGGACGCGATTTTCACTATGGGTCATCCGGAAACAGTCTCTCCCTGCTTTAGTACAGGGGTAAGACTGCGTCCATCCGACCCCCCCCTTACCCCACCGTAGGTGGGAGCCTTTGCGGCATTGGGGTAAATGAAAATGAAAATGAAAAATTATTAGCCTACTAAGCTAGATTCCTATCACACATACATAAGGAGTATCACAAAAATATATTTCTATCCTACCAGTTCAATATTAAATGCTTCTTATATCATTTCAAGGCAAAATATTATATGGGAAAAGTCAATAAGGGCAAAATCAAGAGATGAATACAAGATATGTATTGAATTCTTAATAGTTGAAACTTGAAACAACAATTATACAATAACACCCAATCCTTATTCCCAAAAGAGTATGGGGTCGGCTAACATGAAGCGACATGTGATATCGAAGTTAAAAACAATAAATAGAGAAAGATAGGGACAGATAGCAAAGAATGAATCCTCCATGCGAATGCTTTCCCTCCACGTCACCCTCTCTGAAGTCATCTAACCCAAATAGTATCTTATCATTCATGACCACCGTAATCCATGTCTGGCTAGGTTCCCCCCTCCCTCCCTTCCTCCTCTCCCCACCTCTCAATTCGTCTAACAGGTGCATCACTTAGTCTTAAAACCACAATCTTGGGATTTTGTTTTTTGGCTAAATGTTTTAAACCACTATTAATTTGGGTAAGAGTAACAAATGAAAGGATTGGTTATTTAACTTATGCAGGGCTTGCTAGGAAAGAGGACTTCCCCTACATCACTTACTACTGCCCTCACTGTAATGCCTTGAATAGGCATAAACAAGTAGAAGATCGCTCCTCTGGCTCGAGTTCACCGAGTTTAAGCTCTTCTGTGGTGGCCGATTCTGAGGTGATTAAAAATGCTGGTGCTTCTCCCGTTGCAGAGAATAACATCCCTGCCGGTGGGAGTCCAGCTGGCCCTTCTGAGGCAGAAGGGGTCGAAATTTCTAATGTTCCCGGTACTTGATTTGTGCCCTTTGATTGGCATACTTTGCTGCCTTGTGCGACATACAAAATAGCAGGTTTCCTTGCATCTTTTTTTTTATTTTTTATTTTACAGTTTTTTTACTGTGAAAATGTTGTACTGTACCAAATGATATATTTCGCAGATAGGTCCTGTCTCTTACGGGCTGCCCAAATTCTTATTATGTGTTTTTCTTTTCTCGCTGAAATTTTGTCCACCTATAACTCATGTAGTGTCGGGTATTTTCTTGTGGAGGAGACAATGTTCTACGTGTAAATGAACTTAAAACATTAGATAGAAGCGTGATAATGTGATGTTTTCTTTTAAGCTCATTTCCAGCATATATACATTAATACATGGATAGTCAAACACTCAATGAATCTGAATCCTTGGCTTCACATTTTTGCATGGGCTGTTTCAATGCTTGCCATATGTCAGTCTAATTAAGTCATTGACTATTAAAAACTCACATCTGTTTAGTATTTTTTCCCTGACATGCTTTGTTTTTTCATTGGCCTGGTGTAAGAGATGTTGCGCCTGCTTGCTTGGGTAAAATTATTTAATGGAACTTATGGAAGTGTTGGGGCATATGCAACTGCATTGAAAATATATTGCAATTTGACACTCCGGAGTCAAATTGAACAAAAGAGCTCGATTCACAAGTAAAATACAAGTGCTTGGTTACTGTAGCAACTAATTCCATAAAAAAATAAACCGATCATAATTCTAAAAATATAAAGATATGACGTTACAGTGTGGAACCCAAATGGGAGAAATCACAAGTCTTTCTTTTATTGAACCCAAGTGATCTTTTTGAACGATGCGTGGCAGTGAAGCCAACCGTCAAAACCTATTGTGCCTTAATATGTGGTTATGCAAAAGCCGGGAGGCCAAGGGAGACTGAAGAGATGTTCAATTGCATGACACGTTCTGGCATCAGTCCTGATCAGTTGGAATACAACGTTATGTTAAGCATGTATCTGAGGTCTGAAGAGATCAAGAAGGCACTGTATCTGTATCATGAAATGATAAGTGATGGATGTACTCCTGATCTCTCTACCTATGAATCCATTCTGAAAGTATTAAGGAGAGGAAATGAAGAAGGTATCCAGAAAGTGATCAAGGACTTGGAACAAGTGTGTTTAGCCCTCAAGGCATTTCATCTCTACTCGTTAAGAGGGAGTGCTATAGTTTTGCTGCCAAATTGTTGAAATTATCCATAGCACAAGGTCACAAACTGGACAAGGACAGCTTCTTGTCTATTCTGGGAAATTATAGTCCATCTGGCAGCCAGTCAGATGCGATGGAATTGCTAGATTTTGTGAAAGAACATACTACGGAGTCCCAGAAGTTTCAATGTGATACAATGATTGTCATGCTTTGCAAGTCTAACCAATTGAATGCCCAATTGAATGCTGCTTTGAATGAGTACTTCAGAACTAGCAACTAGCAACTACAGTAGTTCATGCACTGGTAGTGTTGTGAGTGAATACCTCATAGTTGTTGTGAGGCAGCTAAGCAATTTTCTGAGGCTTATCAATTATTTTCTGACATGCAAGCCAATGGGCTGCAGCCTTCTCAGGATGTTTATAGAACAATGGCTGCTATCTATGTGACTATGGGTTCCCTGAAACGGGTCATCATTTCGTCAATCAAGCAGAAGCACGAGGCATGCCTCTTGATGGCATTTTTTCCATTTATGTCGATCTAATCAAGGCTTATGAGGAGCTGAGGCTACTGGAAAAGGCTGAGGAAGTTGTGGCAACTCTAAGAGAGAGGTATACTGTTTTGGACCAAACAGCTTGGAATGCATTGATACAAGCTTATGCTGTGAGTGGCCTCTATGAGAAAGCGAGAGCAGTTTTCAACACAATGATGAGAGAAGGTCCATCACCTACAGTGGATTCCATCAACAGTCTCTTACACTCATTGATTGTTGGTGGCGGATCAAATGAGCTATACATTGTGATACAGGAAATTCAAGATATGGGTTTTAAAGTTTGTAAGAGCTCCATCATTTTGATGCTTGATGCATTTACAAAAGAAGGGAACTCTTTTGAAGTTAAGAAAATATACAATGGAATGAAGGCTGCCGGGTTTACAGAGTGATGATTAGGATATTTTCCTAATCATGCAAAGTGTTGATAGTATTACATAATACACGTGATGATAAGGAGAGTATAGTTGACTGATTTTCAAAGTGTTGTAGTAGTACTATATTCTCACAGACCAATATTTGAAATTGGAAAATTTTATTGTGCCCACACATTATGGAATGTTTTGGTGCGTTTGCCACCCGGCACAAATGTAGTGGCCATTTATTCCAACGTAAGACACTATAAAAAAATGCTTCTAAAATTGCATACCATTCCTTTAGCAGTTGGCATAATAACACGACCAGAATCTTAAAAAACAACAAGAGCAAGAAACCATCGGTAGTCCTCTTGCATCACCCTCTCGAACAAGAAAAATCCAATCTAATCTAAGCTTCACCCGGCCAACGTGCAAGCGTCCTTCAGGTCTTCCAATTTGATTTAACGAAAGCAAAGAAACCAGGGCTGCAGAAACGAAATGATCTCCAGTCCTCCAACCAAGTTTTCGGTTTCCTTTTATCCCATCGTCAAGGTCGCACCGACACTTCGTGGCTCAATCACTTTGCAACAGCTCTAGGTGAGTTTCATCATCTCTAATTTGTTCACTTTTTATTACTTTTGATCTTATTCGGTTGCTAAGTTTATTATCCCTTATTTGGGATGCATTTTTTTGTCAACTGGTTTTGTGTCTCTTTGATTGAATTAAGTATTGATTTTTAATGACTCGATGATAGGATTAGTTTCTTTTCCACATCTGAAATTGTGATTGCTCTCATAAAGCATTTGTTTAATTTTAGCTTATCAAGTTATGCTTGTCGTTTACAAATTAAGAATTTAGTATTTATTGAGATGTACATTAGGGAAACATACCTTGAAATTGATATCTTCTTACAATGAAAGTACCCAGCCTACGATATTATTATGAGTCTCTAAACGAATCTTCACCTGAAAAACAATTGGATTAAAGAGACAATTATGTTTGATTTAAGAATCTTGAAGAAAATCTTGATATTATATTGTGTTATCTTTAAAAAAGCACTTATCAGCCAACTAGGGATGGCCCGATTCTTGTCTACCGGCCCGGCCCGCCACTGTGCGGGCCCGGCTTGGTTAACTGGGATCGGTTCCGGGCCTAGGACCGGCCCGGGGGGATTGTTCGGGACGGTTCCGGGCTACCCCTCCTTTGGAACTAGCCCGGCCCGATCCGGGCCCATTTTTTTGTTTTTTTTTTCAAATATTTTTGGTGGTAGGGTTGGGCTGGGTGTTTCGGGGGTGGGGGGGTTGGAATTAATTAGAAAAGCTAAAAAAACACCGACCCGAGCACGGCCCGGTCCCAGTGGAATCCCGGGCCGGTTTTCGGGCCTATACCCACGTACAAAAAGCCCGATTTTGACCGGCCCGGAGCCCGGCTCGGAACCGTTCCATGCCTATAGCGGACAGCTAACCCAGAAAGATGGATCAGTCACGTATACAAGATGGAAAGAATGAAGCACATATAAACCAATGAGTTTAACAAACACAATGAGTGATCAGTTAAGCAGGCAAACCACACCTAAGATAGCAAGCAACACCAATTCCATTTTGGTGTGAGTTTTTTTAAAGATAGTTGATCTTATATAAAAGAAATTATTTAATACAGAGAGAGATTTGTACTTTTATGGACTTTAAAACTCAGATGATCTTACATAAATTAAAGACTTTTCTGTACAAAGATATTTCTATGGCTACATTAGTAACCTGATCACTATCTTTTATTGAGTGTTAATATTGATTCAAATTTGTATAGGCATGTGTCCCTTTTTTTGTTGTTGCTTTATCTTTGTGTTGTATCCCTTTGGTGCATTTTAATTTATGATTATGAAGTGGAATTTTAAAGATCTCTTACAACCAAATTGATTGAGCCTTACTACAACCATATTTTCAAGGTAAATTCATCATCATCATTACCAAGGTAAATTGTTTTGGTAAAATCAAGAACTACCTATCAATCAATTTGATAATATATCTGAGGCTAGTGCCAAAACTCACTAAACTGTCTGCACTTCTTTGTTATGAAGTAGTCAGTCAATGTAATTTTCGACGCGATTTTCACTATGGGTCATTCGTAAACAGTCTCTCTGTGCTTTAGTACAGGGTAAGACTGCGTACATCTGATCCCTTCTTATCCCACTGAAGGTGGGAACCTTTGCGACACTGGGGCAATGATGATATATGAATCTGAGGCTAGTGCCAACATTATTCTAGCTTTCCAAACTCCAATTCCAGTAGTATTCTACTGTACTGATAATGCAAAATCCAACAGAATAGTCACACAGTTATACATATGGTGCAAAACATATGTTAGTGTGAGTTTTCTAACATATATGAAACGTAGGTTCGCAAAACATATGTCAGAGCAATCACAAATGTTAGTATTCTAACATTTTACTTCAAAACAAAATGGTGCAATTTATAATATCATACTCTCCACAATCCAACAAAGCATATGAAACTTTATTTTTAGAGAACTAGTGAAACATGCAATAAGGAACTAAGCAAAATAATGTAAAATATAACACTAATGCATCTTGCAAACCTGCTGCAACAAAGCATCACTATGAGGCTTAAGATTTGAATCTTTAGAATATCTTCCTTGATTTGCTTGAAGAATATCTGCAACAACAGAATGAAGTAGTGAGCTGCTACACCAAATCTATTGATCATGGCAAAATACTAGTATATTAAGAGAAAAGAAGCTTTTAAAATAGCCATAAAGATTTGAAGCAGAATTATCTTTTTTATTGTTCTCGGTGGTGCCTTTCTATTTCCAGTGATTGCCGATCCAAGCAGGAGACTTCTGGGGATCCACAGTAGCGTCCACCGCAACACGCAACCCGCTGCGGCTACATCGCGGAGTCTAATCCTCTTTAGTACTGGCTTTCTTACTCATTTGTAAGAATGATATGGAATGCATCAATGTTATTTGATAGGGATCACATGTGTGCTTTTAAGTTTGTAAATGGGTGTCATAATTTATGGGTTGTCCTACTTTATGCAAAAAAGAAAAAGAGATTTGAAGCAGAATTACTAAATCACAGCTACTTAAATGTGTCATTCAAAGAATCACTGACGCCTAATTCTTTGGATAAAGCTCACACAACAACACATACAATATGGAGAACGCCAATTGATCCGGGAATAATTAGTGTGGGAATGGTAAATATTGATGCATTTCGCAAAAAATAAGTATTTTAGTGGCAAGTCAATTCTTTTTACAAGTGAAACCCTCCCAACAAGAAAAATAAAATATCTAAAACAAA